ACTGCTACAAAAGCTGAGAAATAAAGCGCTAAAAAAATTTAAACTGACTAAACTTCCAGCATATTACGAGTATTACAAACAATTACGTAATTATACAAATTCGGCCATTAGATCAGAGAAAAAAGCTTATTTAAGAACTAAGTTTTGTCATGGTAATGCAAAAGATAAATGGAACGAACTAACGAACTTAATGTTGTAAAATGTAACAGGGGTACTTTGCCAAGTCACTTAGAGAATGTCGATCAAATTAATAATTTTTTTATAAACAGTGTGGAAAATAATGATAGTCTCAATCAAGAACTGCTGAATTTTTATTATAGTAATAGGTTAAATGACAGAACGGATCACTTTGACTTTGTATTGTCCACGGAAGATGAGATTCTCAACATTCTGAAAAATATAAAATCTAAAGCTGCGGGCCATGATGATATAAATATATCATTAATACTTCTTTGCTGTCCATATATTGCCCCATACATTACGCATATAATAAATGAGTGTATCTTAAATTCGTACTTTCCGTCAACATGGAAGCGGGCACAAGTCATCCCCTTACCGAAAATAAACAATCCAAGCGAATTTAGTCACCTGCGGTCAATTAGCATATTGCCTGTTCTATCTAAAATACTTGAAAGAATTATAAACGATCAAATGGTAAACTTTTTAAATTCTATTCATATTCTTCCAGAGAAACAGTCTGGTTTTAGACCTAATCGCAGTTGTGAGAGTGCCATGCTGGACATTACTGATGACATTTTTAGAGCGACTGACTATGGAAAGATAACGGCTTTAATATCGTTGGATTTCAGTAAGGCATTTGATATGATAAATCATTCAATTCTCTTGGCCATTCTCCATTACGTTGGTTTCTCCGAAGGTGTTCGAAAGTTTCTGTGTTCCTTTTTGTCAGGTCGGACACAACGGGTTGTCTACAATCAGCAGCAGTCATCGTTCCTAGGTGTTCGCATAGGTGTTCCACAGGGCAGCATTCTTGGTCCTTGTTGTACACTATTTTTTCTTTTAACTTCATTGGGGCCCTCCACCAATGCAACTGTTATTTTTATGCGGATGACACTCAAATTTACTACTCATTTTTTCCTCAAGAAATAGATACCGTCATCAATACTGATTTATCAAATTTTTTTAGCATTGCAACAGATCACCTCCTAAAGCTTAACCCTAATAAATCTTCAGTAATACTCTTTGGAAATGATAATCATTTAACCCATGCAAAGTATAACATAACAATTAAACTTAATAACATAAAATTGCCACTCTCTGAGTCATGCAAAAGCTTGGGTCTCACTCTTGATTCGCAGTTGCGTTTCAGAGAACATATTACTAATAAACTAAGGGTTGCCTATGCTAATTTAAAATTAATTTATGGCAGTAGACATGTACTTTGTCAGGGAACTCGTAAGTTGTTGTGTGAATCACTTGTTCTGTCACAATTTAATCACTGCCGAGCTGTGTACGGACCGTGCCTGGATGCGTCCGATCGTTACCGTGTCCAGAAGGTTCAAAACTCCTGTCTAAGGCTAATTTATGGGGTAAGGAGGAGAGATCATATCTCCCCGTACCTTGCTGCGTCGGGTTGGCTTAATATGCACCTTCGATGCAAATTACGAATGAGTTTCCTTTATTCCAACATCCTTAAAACAAAATGACCTTTTTATCTTTACAGAAAAATTACTCTTAACATATCAATACACAATTTGAATCTGCGTGGAGGACACCGACTAGTTATACCCCGTCACCGCAAAGAATTATTTAAAAGATCATATTCCTATAATATAGCCATTTGCATTAACTCTATTACTAATTTTGAAATTAATCAGTCCAACTCGACGTTTAGGAATAATTTCAAAAGCAGTTGTTACATACGCACTAATATTAAGCTCTTCTACAAAACATGTGCCCCTTTCCTCTCCTTTCCTTCCCCCTCCATTTCTTCTCTTTTCTTTTCTTTAGAATTATGTGTATCTACGCTTGGCGCTTTCGAATAAATTCTATGAATTTTTTTATTATTATATTTTCACAGATGGTTTGTGGACCTAAAAGTATTTTTAGTTTATGGGGAATCGCTATTTAAAAAATCGTTAGTGTCTTTCAGTAAAATCTACCAAAAAAAAAAAAGAATTATCAGAATTGAGCCATAATCAAATGTTTTACACGAGTTTCAACAGAGGCGCCCGCAATAATTTGGGCACCCTGTATCTATCAAATAAAAAAATATCAAAATCAAACTGTAATCAAAGTTTTTATAAGGATATATATTAAAAGGATTTTTCTTCAAACATATTTTAATTTTGTGTAGAAAAAAACAATGGTTAATTTGGAAAAAAAGGCAATTTTACGTCTAGTTGGAGATGGTGGGTGATCTTTTCGTGAAGCTGCTGCGGAGTTTAAAAAAGATATTCTCCTGGGGATTTCTCCAATGTCCACTTTAGCCACTTTAAAAAATGGCTCAAGATGATGAACTGACATTATATTTGCCATCCACAATCCAGGATTACACGAATTAAGACAAATACTCCGAAAAGTTTATAGATTTGAAACCGCTTTAGACATGTCCGATAAATTATTTTTAAAGCATCTAAGGTTAAATAAACAGCCTATAAAAAATGTAGTGGAAATTGTAAGACCGTATAGAGGTGGGTAATAGAGCTTACGCCTTGCGAGTTGAATCAAAGGTGTTCCAAGTACCCCTGAATAATAATTCGTTAGCAATTTATTTTTGCAAAATCTAATTTGTTAAGGTTTTGGTACAATTTTGAGAAATCTACCCAACATAAACAAAGATTTAACAAGGATGAACCGTTCAAAACGTGTCACATTGTATATAGGTCTGTGTGTAATTTTAAGTAATTATCATTATTTTATTATTGTCGACACTTTGACACAACGATTAAATTATAGAAAGCAAAAAAAAAATGTATATATGTAGGCAAGTGTCCAAATACCAGACTTGTTTATTGCTTTGGATATAATTATACGTTTATTACAATTTACTGTTTTTAGTAAATTAGAAAAATATGTAAACGTTCCTTTAACTTCAAAAATCGCTAATTTTTGGTTTAAAGTCGTCAAACAAACCTACGAACTTTATCACATAATATACAGGTTGTCTCAAATTCGAGGTGGACCCTTGGGATCTCCAATGTCCATACGAGATAGGAAGTCGGTCAAATGGAGGTAAAGTTTCAAAATCAAGAAAATTCTGATTCGTTTCGGAGATACCAGGGAAAAACCAAAAGTCATTTCATTTTTTTCCGTTACGTTAACCTACTCTCATACATACGTACATAGATATTCTGGATTTTGCAGCGGATTCTCGATGGACCTTATACTTATGGATACTTATTAAATAACCCGTAAATTGTAAAACTACATTCAACGATCCAAATTGCATTTAATAAGAAGTTATCATGTCTTTAAAGCTGATGTTGGTTCCAAATACACAATTCTAGCCTCCTAATATCAACAAATGGATTTTGTAGTATTATCTTTGGACTAAATGTAATGTCCTCTATATTCGCATTCTCAGAATTTACAGTTCATTTTCAAATTGTTTGATTCTTGAGGTGTATTATTTAATTTAAGGTAATTAACAAAATAAAAAAATGCTACTATTTTTATAATATTTTCTTCTTCATTAGGATCAAATCGGCGATCATACCCATTTCTCGGTTTGCGAAAATTGCCGAATTCCGATTTTGTAAATAACTTTAGATGCGGTTGCACTCTCTGGGGATATTAATTAAGGTACCGTTTACTCAATTCTGGAATTTCTGAGTGATTTGCAATAAGTACGTAAAATATCTAGTTTTTCCACGCTTTAAAACATCTTTTATACTACAAAGTCTGTAATTTGTAATTACAAATAAGAGTAAAAAGTAACTGACACTTTAATAATTAATTAACAACTATATCAAGACTGTTTGCAAAAACGTGCAATGAGAAAGTGTCATTTGATTTCATTTTTTTTATAATGTTCAGGAAAAAATACAGAAGAAATTGCCTATTTTCGGTTTAATCGAGTTCATATCCCTTACGGTTTCCCAGATCACAATTGTCCCCTACGAATTGGGGACACCATGTACAGGGTGGTCCAATTCGCGGGGACTCTATGGCTTTAAGCATTTGCAGCATAGTTATCCCAAAATTAATATGCATGTTACGGGCTCGATTTTCGAGAGAAATCGAAAACTGAAAACCGCATCATGATATGTCAAAGCGTTTCTGGACTACAGGGTGATTATTTCTAAAAACCCTCTATACATTTTTTATTTGTAAAGATAATGATTTTTATTAAAAACATGTTTCTAAGGACATTTTTTAAGGACAAATCTACCTGTTTCACTGATTTTGTCTTAAAGCCTTTAGTTCACAAGATATACCACAAAGTTACATTTTTTAATTGGTTTTCTAATAAAATTTCCGGTCAAACGATGTGCTATACACCTTTTTATTAAGTAGTTAAAAAGATATCTACAATTTTTAATAATTACCTTAGTCGGCTGTGCTTAACTCTGACCTATACAGTTTTACGGTATCTATCTAGGTAGCTATGATCAGATAAAAACAATTGCCATGATACAGAAGCCCAAGTGTCAAAAGTGACGCCTTCGTCAAGCTATAAAAAATGTTTCACTTGATAAAATGATATATTGAAAGTAACGAAAATCGACAGACGGCATTAGATCTATATTTCCAGAGATATCCGGAAAGAAGGCAGCCTAGCTCAAAAATATTTTTGAAGTTAAAACGACATCTACAAAAATACGTTCGATATTTTATTAGAAAACTGATTTTTTAGAAAAATTGGGGGTATGGCGTTTAAAGAAATATAACTTTGTGTGATATCTCGGGAACTAAAGGCGCTAAGACAAAACGGGTAAAATAGAGAGATCGACGCTTAAAAAAGGCCCCTCGAATTTGGACCACCCTGTATATTCAGAAAAAAAAATCAAATTAATCGAAAATATTTTCTGTTCCAGAATACCAAATATTTTCGATCCCGCCCTTGAAAACATATCTCAATAACTCCAGAATATTGAACCAGGACGAAGTAGAAGACAAGAGTATCATTGAAACGAAAAGAAACGATTACGATGCCAAGCTTTTCTTCCATGAATTATATGAAAACAGACCACCGGCCTGTCGAAATGTTAAGACGTTAATGGAGTGTTGCCAAATTATAGGCGGCACCCCATTTTACGGAATGAACGGCGGATTATTTGAATACTGTATCATTCAAGACATGGTAGCAAATCTACGAGCATCCAAAACGCAGTACAGAAAAAAGCGGCTAGTTCAATATTCGTATCCAGAAAATTTCCCTCCAATAAATGAATATCAAAGCGTCTTCGATCACGAAGGGCAATATGGAAATCCTGATATTGATTATTATGAAAAACAATTAACCCCCGATTTCAGTACGATTGACACGCATTGGAACATCTACCATTATGACGGTCCACATCAGAATTATTTTGACAATCCCAATCACAATGCATTTGATGATCGTCCTGCAGATGAATACGAAGTTTTGGGTTCCGTTAACAATGAGTTTAATAATCAAATGCAATTTTTCGAAGAAAAAAACGGACTCCAATCTTCTCTGGATCCGAATATTCCACCTTTCCTCGATCTGCCGGATTATGTTCAAAGGGAAATTGTAGAGCATATCACCAACAGTCCTTACGTAGAGCCTGGAAGTAACGCAATTCATCAATATGCCGAAGGGATAGTGGAGGAGAAGTTCCCGATTTTGACCAGAGAAAATCTTCATGATGATATGCCAACTCTCTCCGAGAGCCAAAAAGTATATACTCTGAAAGCTAAGGCCGACGAACCAGTTACGAGCGCTAATGGAGACACAGGTTCGATAAAACATTTTCCAAGGGCAAAATCTGATGAATCCAGAATAAATTTTAATATTACAAGGGATGCTATCACGCATGACGGTAAAATGACTTCCAATTTTTTAATTGACCTCCTTGATCACATTTTCAGAAGAAATGAGAAAGTACAGAAAGGTCTAACAACTGTAGTCGCATCTAATGGGACAAAAGTAATAAATTTAAATAATGTGGGGGATAAATTGCAAGACAGATCAAGAATAGTGATTCAAGATTCATCAACTACCGAGAAATTATTAGAAGATGCAGTTATGGGTACGCAATATCCCACGATTGCTCCAAATGAGGATACCACTAACAATGGTCATTTACTACGTGCAAATGCTCAGCAAGACAATTTTCAGCCAAAGACCAAGTTAGACGGTTTCGCGACTGGCAGCGAAGACATACAATCTAATCAACAGTCTTATATCAACCCATGCTTTTATCCATATTTTTCGCCGTATATGCCGCCGGTTAAAATAGGAATGCCACAAGATAGTAGTTATCTGAAAATTTTACCAGTCAGCCAACCGAAAACGCAACAACATCCCATGTACGTTCTCAACCCTCCGATGTTGTATAATATGCCACAACCGATTATCCAGAATTATGCTCCACCTTTGAGTCAGCAGGTTCAATATGGAGCGTATACAAATGCGGTACAATCTCAGTACACTGCCTATAATAGTCCAGTACAAGCAAGCGCGCCCGGTGGACAGTTTTATTTATGTAACCCTATTCCAACACCTACAAACAATATTGCTGGAGTCACTGGTGTAGAAATACGAAGAGATGCTTCCAATTTGCAGACTTTGTTGGAAAATTCACAAAGTCAAAACACTGGGTAGGTTATCATCGCCTGGAGGACCAGAGGCCTTTCTGTCGGGATACCCATGCTTAGCCGACGGGTCCGGTCTTGTGGTACATGAGTTTCGCCTTCGCTCAATTCATGTGAGCTATATATTAGGCACCCGTACATTACCAGTGGTCAGGCGATTCTTGTGACCCTTCGAGCTCGTAGGAAATAAGAATTGCGGCAGACATTTTAAATTAAGTTACAATTTCTCGAGATTATTGCTACGCCACTCCCATGTTTCAATTACACCTTGCATTGGATGATGCATTACGGAACCAGTTCTCTCAAATTTAACCACCAAACATTGAAGAGTTGACTGTAAGCAGCCACCCGGTCTATAGTGAAAAGCGCATTTTTGTCATTTAAACGCGCGGTTTAATCTTGTAGCTCTTTATGATGATTTGGCATAAAGAACTGAATAATACACAGAAGATTTTAAAAATCCTTTAGTTCTAGTGTCAAATTGCTGTAAGAAAACTAATGGTATACAATTTTTTTGGTTCTCATTCAATATAAGCTATGTAAGCTCTAAACTGTCACTGTCTAATATTCCTCGCCCATGACTTCTGATTTCTTACAATTCCTCTTCGACCTCTTATTTTCCTCTCTAAAATTAGTTGCAGCAACTGGTATCTGTAGTATCTAAAGATGTGCCCAAGTTAAAATTTAATAGTCATTAATAATTCTCGACCTACGAACTCTTTTTAACATTTTTCTTATTAGTTACCCCGCCTATCTAAGACACTCTTAGTAAGCGTTGGTAAGTCCAAATTTCAAAGGCCTCTACTTTATCGATTGTGTTTTGCTTTCATAGTCCACGACTCCTTTATGGGCTTTGATACTGTTTTGAAATGCATTCATTTCAAAACAATACTTTAATGTAATACTGTAATACTTTATGAGACAATTTTTAAATATAGTCAAAATTTCAGGTCTTTCAGAATTAAAATATGACTATAATAAAGACTTATTGCAGCTTTGTTTTAAATAAAAAAATTGGAAAATCATTGGAGCAAAGTCGGAAATACCAATTATTTTTATAGTGATAATATCAAAACCAAAGTATTTAAATTTGCAAGATTATACTAATAAATAGTTATAATTATCTCCAAAGAGTAACAGGTATTAAATTAAATACTAAAATATATCAAGTAATTTTACAAAAATATTTATAAAATACGCATTTTTGTTCAAAAATTTTAAGTGGAGGGTAATGTGGAATAGTCCTATCGGGTAATATGGAATAGACTTATCATACACAACAAATATTTAAATATCAGGCAAAAAGTATTTATCTAAAAACTGCAAAAATCGCAAAAAAAACATCTTTTTCTGCACTGGTACAACCATCGTGAGCCCATTTGTTTTAGATTGTGCCTTGCACCCATATGTCTCTACTTTGACTTGAGCAAAACTTGTCTTAATAGCAGATCTTCCAGGAACCATGGTAGTTCAGATTATGAATCAGAGGGTACTTTTTTTTCGTGACTTTACGCTTATAGCTTACGCTAACACCTACACTTTCTTCCCCGATTTTCCGGCTTCTTTGTTAGTTCTGACAAGGGACGTGTATTATCGTTCGGCAAATTTTGATTTTCTTTTTGCATTTCGACCGCAAATTCTTCGCCTGTGAAAATATTTTCTCTTAAAGGATAGACCCCAGTGGCACTAAACCTTTTAACAGCTCTTTCTCCATATTGTACTTTAAGATAGACCCTACCAAATAACTGTCAAATATCATAATGGGTTAGTGCCTACTTTTTGGTTGTCATGAAGATTTTAGATTCTCGTATGTGGCCATCTATATCAGCTGTTTGCTGACGGTTTGGCTTTTTCTAGGAAGTGGTCAAACCATTTTGCATATAAATCTGTTTGAATCCACCCGGATGGGTGAAAAACAAACAGCGATCCTGGATGGTGACCGGCTTTTTTGCGTGGAAAGATACTCAAGAGGGCACAAAATCACTTGCCGGACACAAACTTTCTGCTGACGAAGTAGCAGCACCAATTTGTCGTTTACTTCTAATTCCACTTCTGGACATCTTGATAGTAGACAAACCCGACTCATACACTTTCACATAAAAGGGAGAGTGGATGCGCTTAGCAAGTTAAAATCCCTTCTTGACACAAAAAAACTGATCCATTATAAGTAAGTATCGAACTAGTTCCCCTTCTAACTCTTCTGACAAAATTGGTTTTTTATCCAGCTTCGTGTTACTAACAATTGAAGTCTTTCGGTGTTACAGAGGCGGACAAGTATTGTGTTTGGATTTTTTTTGGTGCTGCCAAATAATCCATATTTTTGTTCCTAATTGATTCAATTGTGTTTTCCATATCTTTCTAACTCCATTGTTTCCGCTTTCTATAAAAGGGAGTAGTTATTATTTGTGGAAATAAAAAACATCCCTTACTTTATACTAATGCGGTAATATGAAATAGCAATAGGGCGGGTGATATAGCATATTTCATGATACACGCTACATAAAATGTAAACAAAGTAAGTTACCTATTTTATATTATGGAAAATATCTAAGGAAATGGTTATCATGCTTTTAAAAATGCGTTTAAACTGCAAATACATGAAAATCATTGGAGGTTACTATTTTTGGCATTGGCGACTTATCCCTTACTATTTCATGCCAGCAGTCTAAAATTTTGACAAGCGTCCTAATACCTTAGAGATGGAGCCACCTGCTTTAAAATTATAATAAAATCGATATTACCGACTATTCCATACATACTTACTTTACTTTAACGAAGAATTCATTTCTCGAACCGGGCTGAACATATATTAAAATAAAAGTATTTCATTTAATTGAAAATTTCGAAAAACTTATTTAATTAATTTTCAACAATTTCTGACGACGAATGCTGATTGATTATTTGACTTTGTCCATAACTTGTTGTTATTCTTTTTGTAAAGTAAAGTAAAAAGTAAAGAGAATACTCCATTTTTACAGAATTAACAGGTTGAAGAAAATCTGTTGACTCACCCGGTACTGACAATTTCTGTAGTCACAATGATTTGTTAATTGGTTTCCTTCCTATTTAGCGATAATATAAACATAAGGGAACCGGCTTTGATATGTCCGGTAGGCGAACAAAGCTGTGCAGATAATTTAAAGTGCATAAAAACCTACCATATTTGTGACAACGAGGTGCACTGCGACGATGCAAGCGACGAACTTTTCTGCAGCTGCAAAAACAGAATTGGAAAAGTACGTATTTGTGATGGATATTGCGACTGTCCGAACTGCGAAGACGAAACGGCATGCTTTGGTAAGTTTTATCATGAAATTTTGAAAATTTGCTTTAAAACGGTCACGTTCCCAGGTTGTAAGGAAGACGAGTTCAGTTGCGATGATTGGTCGAGATTCAGACGAAGCACTTGTATACCTATAAGTCAGAGATGCGACAATATTAAACAGTGCGAGATAACGGGGAAAGATGAGGCTGAATGCTCCATTTTACTCGACAGCATTGGTAGTTTTGCGCAGAACCAAATTTCAAATTCTATAGGCTTTCTGCACAGGAATTACAAAGGAAAATGGTACCCAACGTGTTTCGGCACGGAACGGTGGGCGGCGGAGGTGTGCCAAATTGAAGCGGGTCCAAGCATGGTGTGAGTTTCTAGTTCTAGTATTCGAAAGCCTCTAAAATCTATAATCTATGCCGGTCGTAGTAATTTTAAAAGGAAATGAATCCTATCGTCGACTTAAATCTGCTATTAGAATCCGTCAAAAACATCTGTCAGGTTTCACAACTTCCTCGCCACTACTCTTTAAGGCTCACAAACTAGGACTACCCTTTCGATCTATTGTTAGCACCATTGGTTTCCCAACCTAATCCCGAGCAAAATATCTAGCTTCTATATTAAAACTAGTGACAGGGAAAAAAATTTCGTTCGTTTCAATTAATTGAACAACAAACGATATTATGACTAGTTTCGACGAACAGTCCCCCTTTACTTAAGTAAAGTATTCCTGGAATGTTGGGTTCTCCATAATCTCCAGTCATCGCAAATATATTTATGAAGACTTATGACAAGAAAGCCATCAACAGTTTCCATATAAAACCCGAGTTATGCAGATGATACTTTTGTTATTTGGCCTCATGGTCAAAAATGCCTACTGAATTTTCTTAATCATGCCCCCTTTTACTTAAGTAAAGTATTCCTGGAATGTTGGGTTCTCCATAATCTCCAGTCATCGCAAATATATTTGTGAAGACTTATGACAAGAAAGCCATCAACAGTTTCATGGTCAAAAATGCCTACTGAATTTTCTTAATCATGTGAAATTCATTGAGTTAGAATTATAGAATAATCTGCTATTTTTAGATATTCTTCTTAACATAAAATGAGACATTGCATCGTCACATCAACATCCGACCCAACACTTTATATCCTGCAATTCGGCGTTCGGCTACAAAGTACATTTCACCACAACAAAGTTTGCAGCAACTTTGGTACTTCCTTAGATTCTAAACATTACGAACCAAATGCCAAATGCTCTTTAGTAATATAATATTTAAACCAGATTGAGCACTTGTCCAAAAATATCTCACCATCTCCGATCGGTGGAAGTATTCCATGCATATGCGGGAAAGACTATATTGGAGAGAGAGAGAGAAAGAGCATTAAGAGTCTTGATCAAAACTAGCACTCTTCATTCATCATTCCTAAAATTCGGAATCACGCAATGTTTATGTCAATAGTATATAAGCAGGTACATTGTAAATAGTACTCTAATTTCTACATAAAACCTACATTAAAACACTAATATAAAGAATAATTTATGAAATAATCTTGAAAATGAGCTTCACTCAAATCTAATGAAATTTTACTATCAAGTATAAGTTTCTACGTCCAGTGAAAGCTTGGAAAAATCATTTTATAGGTACATCGATGAGAAATAAACACTTATTAAGTAAAAGTTCAGATGATATTTTTAAAAAGTGTAGTATATATTTTATAACTCGCGTATGGAAAATATCAGTTTTTATATACTATTTCATATAAATAGAATTAGAATAAATCCAACAAGGAACTAAATCACTGGATATATAAAAATGGTTTAGTGCTCACACCTGTATTGCTGATTGAGGTATTTACAACATAAAGTAATTGTTTTTTTTAAGAATTTTTTGTTGCAAGCATATTTACCATATCATATTTACTTATATTTATTTTCTTTTTAGACACGCACAAAAACACTTTGTTTAATTTGTATGCTCAACAGATATTTTTGAATTGTATTTATATTTTCCCTTATATTCCACAGCTGGAATAAATTAATTTTTAATATACGGTAAATATAAGTAATAATGTTACTTAGTGATTTCAGAAATTAGCAACTTAAAATGCTGAAATTGAAAATCATTAAAACCTATTTAAATATTAAACCCATTTCGTAGAATTGCATTGCGCAAGTATAATACAAATTAAATGACATATATTTTTTAATCTTGACTTTTAAACGAATTTCGTACCAAAAATTCAATTACCTATTTAGAACTAATAACATTAAAGGCAACTTTTAAATTTAAAAGCACAAAAAGTTATAATTCTTATCTCAAAAAGTAGAAAAGGACAGATCCTACTTATTTAGAGTACATGAAGAATTATATGTTTAATATTTATTTTTCTTCAACAGCAGTAGTTATTTAACATTTATTATATTTTTTTTATTATTTGTGACTATTACGTACAATAATACAAAAATTATTTAAGGAGCATATGTGTTTTTCTTGTGTTTTTCTACAAGTATAAACAAAATTTCCTCGGTTACCTCGCATGTGGTTTTCGCCACCTAGCTTTGAGTTAGTTGTTTTGGGGCATCCGTCGGATCTCATTTATTTTAAAAAGTCAACAGTGAGTTTGTTGCCGTTTTTTAAGCAAAATTCAGTGACATTTCTTTATAACGAAAAGAAATACCATATAACGGAATTTTCAAAATCATTTGCTTATTTTATATAAAATATGTAAATGTTAAATATGTAAAATATGTAAATTCGAAGCCAGAATGTAAGTCTCGAATCAGATGAATCTTAAATGGCTAAAATTTCTGTTCTTTTTTAAGATCATCTGAACCCGTGGTTTAACACAATGTTGTGGTTTCTTGCATGAACTACTTAGATTTCTTGGATTGAAGCCAAAAAATTAATTTCATCAGTCTCCTAGTTTTTTTCGTTCTAAATATGGGACCGGCATTTCCAAAATAATCTTTGTTGAATTCAACTTGATATTCATCTAAAGAAAAGTATTTTGCCACCAATCTTCTTTATGTATTGGTGTTGACTAGAAGAAAATACAGCCATGCAAATCCCCTAAATTGACTAAAGTTTCAACAGCAATTTCGTTACACTGAATTACACTGAATATTATATATCAAATTTAGTATTGTGTGCCATAGCTAGTTTGGACTTTAAATAAAATTTGTAACAAAAACACAAACCGTATTATTATGAAAGAAGTTCAAGGATTTATGAATATGACACAACGCCAATCTTGACACTACTTTTTCTGGCCACTGGATTACGTATAAGAACCATGCGCGAAACATTTTTAAGACATAATAGAGAACAATTCGAACAACACTTGTGATCCAGTTCCAAAAACTATCCATTTAAGATTTTTATTATGTGTAATTAAGACAAAGTGCAATGTTTTTTTTTATTTTTTAATATGTATTTCCTTTCTGTGAAACAGAAATTACCAAACTGAGATTTTTATTTAAATAAAGGTTTTTTTTGTAACATGTCAAGGCCACACATTTTTTTCAAAACTTAAATGTTAGGCTTAATATTAAAAACAAATATGAAAAAAAAAATTAATATGTTTCATTCCACATAAAAAAATTCTGAGTGTGCCATTGAATTCTATGTACAAAACAGAATAAATCCCTCCATCTTTTCCAATAAGCGAGATACACCGTAGCATCGAAAAATGGACACTCCGTGCACGCAATTTTGGAATCCAAAAACTTTTTACTGTATTTCGTTTTTCTTTCTCAATGTTCAGAATGATTTATAATTTTTTCCTATTCTTTTTTCAACACAAAATGTTTGCTATGTTCAATTTAATGTTATACACAGGGTGTCAAAGTAATATACCTCATTTATTATTTGTTTTAGAAGAAATGTTAAATACAAAACTTATATATGAGACTAAAAGTAATAATTTACTAAATTATTTTCAATTATACAGGGTGATTCCTAAATATGGATTTATGGTCATTAATTCGCTAAAAATGTTTAACACTATATTCTTGACGCCATGTCTGACAGCTGTAATTTTATTGTGCTATCAATTTTATAAAGTAGTTTGTAAATTTTTTATACTCGTCTTAAAGTTAATTCGAATCTCTTATGAGTCAAAATGAAAAATATTATTTTTTGTGAAAAAATCAAATAGAACACCCTGTATATTATACTTACATTTATTACTAATTTTATAGCTATTTCAATTTTATTTAGCATTCTAAACTTGGTATTTTTTGAGGTATACACATTTTTACGAAAAAAATTCTGAAAATTTTCAAACCGGGAAAAAACACAAAAGATTGAGAACAAAATAAACATTACCTGAACGTGAAAAGTTTACAGAGACGAAGTATAATTCTTTCAGCTAATAGAATTGGGAATTCTTGATGAAATTGGAAAATGAGTAATTAATGGAAGTATACCTTATGATTTTTTTAGGAAAATTAATACTTTTCATATTGACTCACCGTGCATAAACGATTCGGACTAACTTCAAGACAGATATACAACTTTATAAAATTGTTGACATAATGAACTTGCAGCTGTCGGAAACGGCGTCAAAAATATAAAGTATTCTTGACGAAAAAATGGCCATAAAGCCGAAAACACCCAGTATTAACTATAACAACCCTACATTGGATGATTGAGTATAAATGAGAGAATGCCATAATATACAGGGTGTTGAATTTAAAATATACATAAGTTTGATTTCCTAAGTATTGATGAATCTTCCTATGTATATGAAAATACTTTCAAATTGTCTCTTTTAGTCTCGTCTATAACCTTTGTATTTAACATTTTTCTCTTAAACAAATAATAGACGAGATATATTACTTTGACACATTATTTGGACACCCTGTGTACAATGGTGGTTAATGGAATAAACTCTTCGAATATAGTAATATTTCACGGCAAATACATTTTTAGTATCGCATTTAAGTTATAAAACAAATTTTATACTAAACATCTCATTAGTAACGGAAAAAGTTAAGAAAATAATTAAATTTCCATGACAACTTTAAAAAATGTCTATATATATTAGCTATAAAAACAATGCCTTTCAAGAAACAAACTCAATACAACATCAATAAATGGTTATAAACTGATTAAATTACCCACAAACATATTTAAATACCTTAGACTTAGTTTTGAAACCTTTCTACTGGTATATCTTTCCATTCTGCTTTAATTATTTGTTCTTGCTTATTTTTTGTTTTGCTTGCCAATTGACACCATGTCACAAAAAAGTTTTTCTAGAAGTATGTTTTGAATCATTATCCTGTTCATATTTCCATATTAAGGGTCCTATACCATATCAAGAACGTTCTCCATAACTTCAGATTAGCCTCTCCGTGTTTAACAGTTTTGATGGTGTGTTTTGGTAATAGTTCCTGATTGGGCGTTCTGCCAAAATATCGCCTACCATCAACGCCTATTGAATTTATTTTTATTTTGTCGCTCTATAGTATATTACTGCACTTCCTCATTCGCCTAAAATTTAAACGATATTTAATATTCGTTGCAGATAATAGATGACCTTTTCTTGCTGCTCTACCATGCAGATTATTTGTCTTAAGCCTTCTCCTAATCATCCTTGTCCCCCCCACCCCCGCAAGTCTATTTTTAATTGCGATAGATACTTAAATGAGTCGTTTTTAGAAACCCCAACAATCTCTCTATCTTCGTAACAGTTTGGTTTTCTTCCTGCTCCACGATTTTCATTTTTTTTCTCATTATAAAAACTGTCATTCTGAGATTGTTTAGGAAATAAACACATTAGTTTGACAAATTCGCAACAATTACTTCGTTCTACTGCGAAGTTAAAACCTACCGTGCTGCAATTTTTTGTCGAACCCCTTAGAAGGTCAGGTAGGGCTCCTTGTCCTACTGTCTTACACGATAAAGAAAAAACATAAAAAAATGTATTAAAATCTTACAGAAGGGACAATAGTTTCCGTGCACTTTTTTAAATAAAAATAAACTCACAATTTATAACCTATTATTGTTTTTTTCTTAATTTTGAATTATAACAAACCATTAAGTATTAAAAAGTTATAATTTTTGTCTTAAAAAATCTACGAACTAAACTGCCTTTTTATTGAGTAGCAGGAAAGCAATTATGTATTTATTTTCAAAGAAACTTCCACAGGCTAGTGTAACACTATTTACAAAACTTCTGCATTCCTCCCGCGTCAGTATTTGTTGAATGGAACTGGCTGACGTTCCGTCAATCATCCTGTTGTTGTTATCATTTATAACTAATTATTATATATTTTTTACAAAACTTCTGGATTTTTTTTTTGCTGAGTCGAATTTGCTGACGTTGCGCCAATCATCCTGTTGGCTTCTTCAGACCTTGACTAAAACTGGCTCGTATTTTACTCTGTACCTGCTTATATATTGTTTATTTATTTATAATTCATAATAAAATGTTAATAGATTTTGGTATAGCTCATAGTCCATTTAATTTTATTTTAGAAGCCCCCGCACACATATGACCCTAACTACCGACCAGTACAACGGCAACTACATCAATATTTTACCAAATAACGAAATTAGCTTGGTGAATACTTGCGTTCAAGACAGAGCCGCTTTTGTGGAATGCCCACCGATTTATTGTGGTCTAAGATACATCATGAAAAACCCCTATAGATCAGAAGAGATTGACACCAGCGTCGAAGACACGCTTGACGATTTCGAACGACGATTCAACTTAAAAGAAGCTATATTGGGCGCAAAATTTACGAATGCTAGCGGAGATATTATTGTACAAGAGACCAGAGTTGTAGGTGGTAAGCCCAGTCAGCCGGCAGCATGGCCTTGGTTGGTGTCGATTTACAAAAATGGAATATTTCATTGTGGAGGAGTACTGATTAACGAATTATGGATTGTTACAGCTGCTCATTGTGTTGATAGGTTGGTTTGTTGTAGTTGCAGTAAAATATTACAAAGCTAGGAACAGTTATCGGAAAGACAAACTAACCGCCAGATGAAGTAGGACACCCAAGAAGGAGTTGCCTAATTTTCACTGGCTTTAGCTCCAACACTTCTTTGCATAGGTCCTTGGTCTATGCGTCAGGGGTGTTCAATTTTTTTAATTCTTTCTCGTTATACCGAGCGTGCAGCCAGAGAAATTTTTTTATTTTTTGACAAATAATTTGGAAAATATTGAGAGTAAATTTGTTTATGATATTCGGTGAATCCATAGCTATTAAATAACATAGTGACCCTACTACGGCAAAAATTGATGCGTTGCAGGCATAAAAATGCAGCAGTCATGTTGGTTTTTAAATGTCGATTCATGGTTGAAAACGAGATTCTTGCGCATACAACAGGTATACAATAGGTATTTGCCAGTGTTTTGATATATTGCGTTGCGTTGCCATGAAAATGTGACCATTTTAAATCCGTTTTTTTCATTTTAACAATAAAAAATAACAGCTGCATTAAATAATATATTTTTTTAAATAGTCGACACATGAGGCGTATGAAGGAAGTTTATCAAAGTTAAATAAACAACGATTCTAATTAAAATTTTCAACAGCTTTAATAGCTGTGATGATTTTGTTGACCATTAAGTTTAAGTGTGATTTATAGGTCTGTCACCGCAGACATAAAAATCGTGATAGGTCGCAAAAAATAACCCTGTTCTACTTTTCTGTTATTTTATATAGTCTACGACCATGTTTGCAGCTTCGAAAAGCCCGTACTAACTGCGCAGTGAAATCATGCCGATAAGTCATTATAGAAATAATATCACAGACCTAGGAAATAGCATGTTTCTATGTGATTGGGACCATTGGAACAATACCAAAAGCGAAACTTTAAAAGAAATATCTTGTGAAATGTTAGAACATGTCACTCATATAATGAATATACATATTAAAAACTTGGATAGTGATCAGAGAGTGGTACAGTATGTCGTGCCGCAGGGCAGCGTTCTTGGCCCAATTTTATTTATCTTATATATAAATGATATGTTACAACTAAAATCTAACAGTACCATCATCAGTTATGAAGATGATACAACGTAAGGCATATTCGTGGAGATCATATAATATCGTAGTTCTCAAAAACTAATACCAACACAACAAACTGCTCTGCCAAACTTGGGTAAGTTAATAGTAAATGTTCAATTTAGCCCCCTCTACTATTCAAGGAAAATTCATCGATAATATAAAGCAGGACACAGATGTCTATCTGACTTCTATTTGGGATTCGGTCATCCGTGAAGCAATGAAAACTCCGCGACCCCGAGAAGCCGGCAGCATGTTTAGTGAAACGTCAGCGAGGCAGAGTCAACACCCGAAAAATACAGAAGATTTATACCGACAGTATGTAATCCCAATAAAGCAAAGAAAGATTGACAGTAACAAATAATAAAACAACCACAAATTCCAGTTATACCTATGTCAAAAAAATCCATTAAACTCTATGTAATCAGTAATTCAAGACCTCGAGTCAGACAGAGTACAACAAGCATGCACCTTGAGTAGAATAAGATGTGGCAGCAAGAGCAATGGCAGGAATTAGTACGAAATGCATTCTAACGTCATTTTTAGGATCTAAACTACTAAAGAGACTGTCAACACTAACATTCTATAAGTCAATAATACGCCTGGTAGTTACTTATGGCAGTGAAACCTGGGTCATCAATCAAAAGGAAATAAATAGCTTCTAGTATTTGAAAGAAAGGTGCTTAGAATGGTATTTGTATCCCCGAAATAACAGGAGCATGGAGAAAAACCCACAATTGGCGATACTGTAGTGCAGTGAAAATATAATTAGGCGGATTATCTGAGACAGTAACTTTTGAGATATCGGGTGGCAGAAGATCAGACTCAGCAAATGAAGAGAAGATGCCGTCGCAGCCGACATAACCGAGATTGTGGTCAAGCAGTGGGAAAGGGAAGCACAAGATCCTAGAAATGGGAGAGTAATAGTGGATGCGGCTAAGACGCAGCCTATGTTGTAGGTCCAGGAAAGAAGAAGAAGAAATCTACCAGTCTACCTAAATGATCCCTGGTTTCTAAAGTTCCCTCAAATGCGTGGAATGTAGCGAAGGTTTTGTTTTTATGGACGATAAACCTCAATCATCAGTATCGACGGGAGCAAAATTTGTGTCTTTCCAAATTGCCTCTTTTATACACAGATATAAACCCTATTGAAATAGAAAGTTTGCAAAGAAATCCAGACGGTCTCGAGGAGATGATTCTAGAGCTCTCAGATTCAGTCCCTATGAAACTAATACATGAGTTTGTCAAGTTAGTGTTAGATAGTTATTCAAGCTAAAGGAGGGTCAAAGTACTTTGTGTGTGAAAACACTAAATGAAATTCAAAAAACGAAAAATTTTCTGAAGTTACTGAACCCTGCTAAATATCAAAACAAAATCAACTTTCATAGAGAATAAACTTATTATAATCATAAAACCTTTCAACCATTACGCCGCTGGTGTTGACCATTTTCCTTACAATTTATTATTTATTGCAGCTTATTGCTATCTGTATAGAAACGCAATATACAGTGTATCTTCGAAAGTTTCCACCAAATGAGAAAAACTTTTAATTGTTGACTTTACAAAAAAATGTGCCTCTTAGTGAAAAGGCGTGAAAATAAAACTGATCATTTTCCCCTAAAATTATTACTTATTACAGCTTATTGCTAACTGTATAGGAACGCAATATACAGTGTATCTTCGAAAGTTCCCACCAAATGAGAAAATTTTTAATTATTGACTTTACAAAAAAAAGTGCCTCTTAGTGAAAAGTGCTTCTTGGTGTGAAAATAAATTTGGACAAAAATATTTGCTTGTTGGGCTTACAGGGTGGGTTCACGGATTAGTTGGTTTGAAATTTTAAAAGAATGTTGGCTGTATCTCTAAAACTAACAGTCATAAGGACGAGCGGAGAAAAAATCATTTCAAAAGTAACCAGGAGAAAATAGTGGAACTTCAAGTTTTCATGTTTTCAAAATGCTCGCCAGAAGCGTAACCGCCAACACTTAAATAAATAATAATAAATAATTTTCCGAATTTTTTATGAACCAACGATAGCTAAAATGCGTGTCATTTTAAAACAGATGTAAATACGAGTCTCTTTTGTAAAAAAAACGACTCGAGTTTACCTCTATCTCATTACGAAAAGTGGTGGGGGGTGTACGAACAATGTTGTAAATAGGTATCAATAACTTCAAAATCGCCTAAAGGACTTAAACAACTTGTAAAAAAGAGACTCGAGTTTACCTCTATCTCTTTACTAAAAGTGGGGGAGGGGTGTATCAGTAGCTTCAAAATCGCCTAACGGACTTAAACAACTTGGGGTTGTTAAAAAACAAATTTCTTCTGCTATCAACATTTTTGCAATTGTGAAGATTGTAAATATTGCTTATAATTGCCACTAGAGGTAGCTTCTCTACATAATGACCAATAAGTGTTATTTCCTATAAAAAAATGCAAGGATTTGTCGGCCTTGAAACAATCTATTGACGTTGGTAACAGAATAGACGTTTTGACGTTTTGACAGTGGCAGTGACAGGTTTTCCGGTTTCTTAGGTACTTTGAACATTACTGGTGGTTAAGTTGACAAAAAATATAAGAAGCATCGAAATTCATCATCAGCCACGTTAGTTTAAGGGTACTGGATCTGTCCAACATAATAAAAAAAAGATGTCGTTTGTCATTTTATTAACGACCTACAATGAAACGCTCGACATGCCCTTTGGCATCAGCATGATGCAGCTCCTTGTTACAGCCCAGTCAGGGTCAACGAATATTTGGATATAATTTTTTCTACTGCCTATGTAGAAAACCTAATTATACACCAATCTAGAGTGCGCAAAGCCTCACTTTACCAGGTGAGTTTCGTGCCTCACGGATCCACTTCGGATATTTCCGGGAAGTTACAGCACGGGCTTGGGAGCAATGACGTTTGTCAATTCTGACTCGTTTATTAAATACTCACAACGCTGCGCTTCGCTCGTGCCAAATAAACTCGTGATTCAAATATGGGTGACCGGAAATTACACCGTTACATTTTTTCTTGTGGGTTCATTGAAAGGAATTTCTCAAAAACACAGACCATTCCGTGTAATTGAGAGATGTTGATTTTTGAGTATTTCTATTTCACTTGTTATTATGAAATTAGTTAGTTGGTCACATCATAGAAATTAGAGCAATTAATTTGGAACCCTAAAAATAATACTCTTTAGTGGTCTTTTTGTTTCATTTTTGGTAATCGTTATTATTATGGTACATTCCGCAGGTCTTTACGACTGTTAGGTTTTTATTCATTTTAAACTAGATACTTTTTGAAAAAACATGTCCAACATACAAATATTGTTGTCGCCAAGCAGGACTTCTAAAAAGGGGCAATTTTTTTGTAAAGTTAATAATTTTCCCATTTAGACATGCCGTATGAAAGAAAATTGCAAGAAGATCCCGATGTATTTACCTACGGATTCACCCAACATCATCAACGATATCCCTCTTTTCTTTCCACTTCGCTACATTTACGACCTACATAACGAGGCTGCCTCCAAAATAGCAAACATTTCTAGTGTCCCACTTCATGTTCATTAGAAAGTCACATATCATATAGAACACCGTACTGTAATTTTAATTAATTTTGCTTATAGATTTTGGTTATACTACTACGAAATTCAAGCTGGGGCGTTAAGAAGGTTTTCCTATTCTCCCATGGATCAAACAAGATTTGCTACAATGATATTACCACACGAAAATTACAGCAAGTCGAATTTGAGGAATGATATCGCGCTGATGAAGGTATCGGGGCCTTTTAGATATAATAGATACGTCAGGCCAATATGTTTGCCCTCTGAAATTACTGCCGGCAGTGATTTCCAAAAAGGACCTCTACCAGGAGTTATCTGTACCGCAGCAGGTTGGGGCGCCACGTTTGAGCACGGAGTTGATCGTAAGTTCGGAATAGCCTTTGTTCTAATTGGAAATTTTAGAATACATACAAATTTACAAGCAGTACATAAGATGTTTTTCATGATTAGCTAGAAAAAAGTAATTTCTAGCCAGTTATCTGCTATACGAGTATGCACACAAAACTCATTAACTAATCAAATAAATATTTTCTTGTTTTCATCTTCAATTATTTTCGAGAAATAACCCATAGTTATATATTGAAATGGGCCGCCCTGCTTACTTTTGGATCATGTGATTCAGTTTGTCAGGAGCACATCAAAAACATATGAGACTCTATGGTTGTACTTGTTTTTAAGTCCATTATTCGTTTTTATTAGTTGGCCATGACAGGTTATAATAAAAATACTACTTAACTTAAAACAAAACAATTTTAGTAATTTTTATTGAATATATACATTTTTAACATTAAAAACCGTTTTCTTAAAAAAATAAACTTCTTTTTAATTATGTAAAAGGAAAAAATCTTAAATTGATGGCATATGGAACTGGAACGCTAGATACACACATACACAGGTAGATCTCATGCGTATAAAAAAATAAACGGCCATACTTATAGCTGGACGGTACATATTTTATTTTGTAGGTATCCCCACAAACCCAACTTATACGTCCATTTGTTCCAATTTATTGCCAGGAAAATTAGAAGGAGAACTACTTGGAGTTATTTGGTTTGAAGCCAGGCCATTGATTTCATCAATATCTTTATTTTCTTTGTTGTAAATTTTGGACCGGGCTTTAGAAAATAATCTGATAATATCTGTAAATAATAGGTGATTATAGAGTTATGCAAAACAATCATACATTTTTACATATTTTTCAAAAAGACCCATGTCAAAAAATATAAATTTTTTTCTTAAAAATAGTTAATTGTTGAAAAAATCTGAGTATTCCAGGGAGTTCTGCCTAAAAAACGGCACGCATTGCGTCATCTTTAAAAACAGCACATTAACTCAGCAGTATTAAATTTAAAAGATGATGAGTTCATGTCCTTTCTGCTGCAGAAGTCTACATGAAAAGCTAAAATGTAAACTCCATAAACGAAATCTCAGGATTTCATAAATTTTCAAGTTTCGTCTAATCAAATTGTTATTATTATAATCATTTATCCTAGAGTTCACGGGAATAAATCTTTAAAATTTATTGTGCCCTAATTCACACCATACTGGAAATATCTCAACAAAGATTAAATATCCCAGGAGATACGTGGCAACATCTCGGTGGACTGATTTTCTGCTCTGCTCCAATGTAGGTGTGTTGATTGAAAGCTACTTGTATTACACCATTCTGACCAATAGTATTCTAAAACTGGACTTCTAACTCTTATAGGATTGCATCCGGCACTATTTTCAACTATGGTATTTAACATCACTCATTGTTTCACTCAAACATTATTAGTTTTCATTGTTACCTCGCAGGGGATAGGTATCTTACTATTTGATGACTGTAGACAAGTGAAGTTGTTCAAGAGCCCCCTCTATCATTCGAAGATGAAAAGTCTGGCTCACACTTCAGCCCAAAGTAGTAAAGATTTTTTTCTTGATTTTAATCTATATTGAATTGTATTGCTCTCTTTACACTACGCAAAGTTTTGGTTTTCTCGTTAAGATGATGCCAATTTATGAAAATTGAGCCGGCTACAAGTTCGGTTCAATTGGCAACTACCCTTCTAAGGTTCCGCACCATTAATGAGTTCTTTTCTAATTCCAATTTTAATCTAATTTCCGTAATTGTGAAAAGGGCTCGCAACTTTTGTTGAGTGCTTAGTGAGCTGTCTGTTTTCCCAACTAGAAGGAGCACTTGCTGGAATGATTTATAAAATATTTTTAATTTTTTCTAATTTTTATGGTATTAATTTACGAAGAAAGTCCAAAAATTTTGAACTTATAAAGATTGATATCGTTGTCAATCCATTCATTAACACGTTAATGTAAATCAAGTTGAAATTTAATTATACAGAGAGATAAAATGGACACCGGTGTAAAGCTGGGAAAAATTCTTTTTTTTTATTAAATGACATTTGCTCTGTCTTTACCGCATTGAGATTTATTTTTCTTAATTTGTAATATCAGAAAAAGAAACAAAAATTCCAAATGATGTCGCATCTTTGAGAGTATTTTGAGTATACCTGCCATTATTAAATCCTAATTTTCTTTCTTTTAGCAAAATATTTATAAATTTCCTGTAAAAATAGAAAGGAATGACAGATCCATGAAAAATATATATTTTTTTAAATATGATAGCAAAAATTATAATAACAAGTGGTGGATAGGTTTCCATATGGCTCCGGCATCAAATTATTTGCACGGCGTTTCTGATCGCGTGAGGAGTAATTGCCGGTAGATATTGCTTTATAATTTCTTCCAGACGATCAATATCACAAAGGAAATTCTAGAGGTGCAATGTCCGGTGACCGAGGTGGTCAGGATAGATTTGAACGGCACCTTTCCATTTTTGTGGAGAAGTAATATCCAAATATGCGTTGACCAAGTCGCACGTGGCAGCAGTTCGTTAGTAAAATTAAAAAATTAGAACACTTAAGTAAATCCAACTAGTAATATTTTACTCACTCACTAATAAAATTTCTATCATTTTAACGATCAATTCTAAACTTTATAGTAACTAAAGGTCGGTTTCTGAACATTTTGTTACTTGAGGGTTAACTATCTATAAATGCATTGTGAGATAATAACAAACTCATGGTTGTATTGTGCACTAACAGTCATCTTAATAATAAAGAGGTGGCGCTGTCATCAATGTCGGTAAATTTCGATGTTTCAATTTTCACAACAAACAACAAAGGAAGAAGAAGTAAGATAGGTGCTTAATTATGAAATATTTATTTTATAAATATGAGCCGTATTCTGAAAGTAACGTCCCACACGAGATAATTTTTGAATAATCAAATTGTCTAGACTAGCTACCTGACAAATTCATATGTCATATCAAATAATGGAAATCTTTATTTTCGGCAAAATGTTTACAAAACAGGTGGAAAAAAATTTACCTCTTAAAACTCGGAAATTGACAGAAAAATTTACACTTTTAAAAGAGCAATTTATTCCCACAGAAAATAATAGTTCAAGTGACTCAACTTTTGAGATTAACCATCCTGCTCCAAATCTAATGTAAACACCATAGTTGTAAACATATTGCAAACACCATTAAATTGGAGGTGTTCAGAAACCCATTTTTTGAGTTAACTCATGGGTTAAACTAATCAGGTAGTTAAAAGTGATTTCAGAATCTGACCCTAAGAAACTGCATAACCTTTTTTATAGCAGAAAGTACACGTTTTAAACAGAAATTATAATTACCAAGTTGGTACTGCTAAAACCTCTATTATGATACCAACAGCAAAAAATTCTTTCAAAGCCTCATCCAAAAACATATACTTACATATAACTATAGAAACGCGATTTTAGTCCACACGTAGTCAAAATTGGAGAAACTGGATCTTCATCGAAAAGCGTCCTGCTACCTAAAAGATCAGATCTGGCGATCACGATCATAATTAACTTCTTTCCAAGTTAGAAATTTACTTTTAAATGGACCAAGCTCATATATATTGAATGTATATGACTTATTATTATGATCTTAACTGCCATGGGAGTATTATAGCAGTAAATAATTTAATAATGACGGTTACGTAGAAAATTTCTTCCAAAGGCTGTATTTTTTCGGATTTATTTTTTGGTTTATTTCGTCATATTTCAGGTTAGGCAAGAAATATCGAGATACGTTTTTCCCTGGCATGCTGGGCCCTGACTTGGATATCTTTTGTGATAAAAAGTCATATCATTTTATTTACTTTTTTAAAGGCATTGTGTACTTTTAGTTATGTAGAAAACACCCTGCAGTGGTAATTACACAATCACCATATTTACAAAAATGTTGATAGGCCAAAAAATGTGGTTTTCAAATACCCCAAATTATTTAAATCCGTTAAACTCTGTTGAAGTTGGTGATCATTATCGTTGCATCTACAATGTATTAGGGATTAAAAAAAATTAAAATTGTGCTCACGGCGGGCAATTGTAGAAACTTAAAAAATATTTCTAGCAGTTTTTCCTGGTAGCTATAGTTAGAGTCTTAAAGACAATTATTTTCTTGATATAGGGTTGAGTGCCATTTTTTTGATCCATTACAATATATAAAATTTAAGGACATAAAAAGTGGCTACTTTTCCCTTTTCAGTAGTCCAGTTCGAAAATGAATATAAAAAAGAACACAAAATAGTGTTATTATTATTTAGAGTACAGTTTCTGGAGTACGTTTTCTGAAGGAACATCCAACAAGTTGTTAAACAACTTTTCCAGGAACGGAGTCTGCCCTAGATCATTTTTTTTCGTTTTTGGAAGCGACTTCACCGCCGCCGCACCTCGCAATTTTAACTTACGAATTCTAAAATTTTCAAATTTCTTCGCAGGTTGGCCATCGGCATCATCCTCTTTAGATATTTTAATCACTCGTTTGTAGAGTTGAGGATCAGTTTTCTGTTTCATATATCCGGATGAGCTATCCAAAAACTTTCTCGTTTCTCTAGCTTGAGCAATGTTATGACTGATATGAGCCCAATAGCTATTTACATTTTTTAAAGTTGCAAATGAATGAGGATCCAAAAAACAAAATATTTTGGTAACAATTGGCAACGGTAGCAATTGCACCCAATCAGAATTATTCGTATCGTCTAAGAGTCTTTTTGCTCTTGTTACTTCTAGGTCTACTCTATATTTGTCCATGATCTCGCACCATTTTCTTCTATGTATTTCAACGTCAACAGATGCGGGGTGATTTGGTTGGTAATTGTCATTATATTTGACTTCCGCAGTTTGTTTATCGTTGGTATTAGTCTTACTGTCAAGTATTTTTTGTTTATATATACAAACTGACGGTCTGTAAAGTTTTCGCAAAAGCCCATTTCCGCTGATCCGGAATAAATTCACTATAATCTGCAATTGTCTGTACTCGTCTTGAGTTCTTATCCATTCCAGATCTTTTGGGATTACCTTTCTCAGAATCATTTGGTCTAACATCCTATCGTGGTCAATTAATATCTGATCGCATTTGAGCGAATGCGTATTAGTATCTGCGTAACAGGCAATTTTCCCGAAATGCATGGATAATATACTTACAACTTTTGACAGCACGGAGACAGCCTCAAGATTTTTGAAAATATTTAACGCATAGTCAAATTTGTGTTTCCAAGATAAACGAATGAAATATCCTTTGATCGACGACACCCGAAGTTCGTATTGCTGCTTTTCAGTTTGCCTTTTCTGTTCTAGTTCTGCCTTCTTTTTAAATTCCGACGACAAATGTTCTAGTTCTTCGTCGAAATTTTGGTAACTTTCTAGGTGGTAATACATTTTTTTTATAACAAAGTTGTCAATGTACTTTGACAATGACGTTTTTGTACAAAATGACAAATTATGTCGCAATGAATTTTACGCGAATTCTAAATTTTCAAATATTTTGGCACTTCGATATCTTCCTCCATTAAATTCGCTAAGAACTTTTGACATGTGGCAAGTGATGTTTTGAATGTAATGTGTTGCTTTCGGAACCATTTTCTCAATTTAACACGTCTCATCAAAGGCGCAGTTGCTTCACGCTGTTTCACTCAAAGAGTTGGAATAATCAAAGTTCGGTTTTTTCCCTGTCTTGGAGAAGTTTATTTTCAGCCTAGCCTTTTTGATCTGCGAATTTTGTTGTTGGTGTTGAATCCATATAATATCATATATCATGTATAAAGACAACGAACCACAAGTGCCCAAAATGGAGCCTTGAGGAATCCTAATATTCACCGAGCGTACCCCAGAAAGCTCACATTGGGTGCGAAAAAGGAAGTAGGGTTCACTTAGATCCAGCGGTAGACCTCGTATGGCATACCGAAAATCATTCAGGTGATTTAGCTTTGACCCCGACTGCCTTTTCACTAAATGTTGCTGAAAGCAATAAGCCGTCATCCAGTACGAATTTTACTAAATCAACTGTAAGCGATAAATCCCCTATCATTTATTATAAACTTGGTTTATAACATGCATATAGTAATTTTTAATTTCAGCTGATCACATGAGGGAAGTGGAAGTGCCAATTTTGAGGCACTGCAAGCACAAAGAAGATTCCGATAGAGATGAATTATGTGCAGGTGAGCATAAAATATTATCAGCAAGTGAATAAAAATAATCAATTGCTGAATGGCAATTAAAACTTCTGACGATGATTAGTGACACTAAAATTATTTCTAGCTGCCGTTCCGTTTATTTGGTCAAACCTACATTTTCCCGAAATTTTATAAGACACCCAAAGATTTTGGTTTTTCCAACTTTTTTTTTAATTTTCAAATTTAATCGAAATAAGATGAAATTGTTTGTTTGCAATAATAATAATGCTTAAACTAAGTCATATTCGGAGAAACCACTGGGATTAACAATTTTCATCTCTGAATATAAAAATAATCCTCAAATCATCAAAATTAACAAAAATAGTTTATGACATGAATCAAATATTTACTTTTTAAAATGTCCACTATGTCCAAATGTCCACTTCTTTATAGCCAAGAATTTTTAATCATGAAATGTGTCAAGAAATTTTCTCCTTCTTTTTATAGGTTTTCCTTTCCACTTGACTAGGCCGAAGTGATTAGTCTCCGACGGTCTAACTAGTGTTATTTTTTATTTTTATTTATCTCCAGAGCTGTCGAATTTATTAAGGTCTCACAATTTCGAAATTTTATTTCTATTAAAATTGCCAAAAAAATTAAAAAATGCCGTAACGTTTAAATATTTCTAAAAGTGACAAAGCGGAACCATAAAAATCAACACCAGTATTTTCAAATTTTCCACAATAAACAATTCCCGACATCTCAGAATTTTGGCGATTTTTGAACATAGCAAACTTTAGAAGTATATTAGTGAAAGGTTACCAAAATTATCAATAACATCGCGAAATGTGCCAATATTGCTGTTAGCATTTTTCAATTCCGCTTATTCAATAGTTGTCAAGATATTTTTACTAACCTTGGCTTATATTTCGAAACCGGTTACGAAGTTTGCCACTACAATGCCATCACTCTATATCATGTGTTTCCAATATATTCTATTTTCTGTCCTCGTCGTTGTGTTTTGGTTTCACTCTTAAGTTGAAAGCATTTCATAGTGTAATTTTATATATATTTTATATATATATATATATATATATATATATATATATATATATATATATATATATATATATATATATATATATATATATATATATATATATATATATATATATATATATATATATATATATATATATATATATATATATATATATATATATATATATATATATATATATATATATATATATATATATATATATATATATATTCTCACGTATTGATTCACGGATGGAAAAATGTGATAACACTATATTCCGGGATATCATCCGTTCGCTCGTTGAACTCCGACTGGAATCCTGCATCCGACTGGAATCCTGCAAATCTTGCATCCGACTGGAATCCTGCAGACGTTTCGCCAAAATCTCACTTGGCATCTTCAATGCTCGCGCTCCGAAAACACTTCGAACACTCGAGTGTTCGAAGTGTTTTCGGAGCGCGAGCATTGAAGATGCCAAGTGAGATTTTGGCGAAACGTCTGCAGGATTCCAGTCGGATGCAAGATTTGCAGGATTCCAGTCGGATGCAGGATTCCAGTCGGAGTTCAACGAGCGAACGGATGATATCCCGGAATATAGTGTTATCACATATATATATATATATATATATATATATATATATATATATATATATATATATATATATATATATATATATATATATATATATATATATATATATATATATATATATATATATATATATATTCTCACGTATTGATTCACGGATGGAAAAATGTGATGACACTATATTCCGGGATATCATCCGTTCGCTCGTTGAACTCCGACTGGAATCCTGCATCCGACTGGAATCCTGCAAATCTTGCATCCGACTGGAATCCTGCAGACGTTTCGCCAAAATCTCACTTGGCATCTTCAATGCTCGCGCTCCGAGGGTTCGAAGTGTTTTCGGAGCGCGAGCATTGAAGATGCCAAGTGAGATTTTGGCGAAACGTCTGCAGGATTCCAGTCGGATGCAAGATTTGCAGGATTCCAGTCGGATGCAGGATTCCAGTCGGAGTTCAACGAGCGAACGGATGATATCCCGGAATATATATATATATATATATATATATATATATATATATATATATATATATATATATATATATATATATATATATATATATATATATATATATATATATATATATATATATATATATATATATATATATATATATATATATATATATATATATTTCCAACACTTCCAACACTAGTATTGAGATCTAAGATGTAACTTTAACTACATTCTAGCATTTAACAACTCAAAAACCTTTTCTTACGATTAAAACGAATGCCGTTTTTTAATCGCATATTTTCGTAGATATATACCTTTAAGCTTCAGTAATGTTGCTTAAAATGCGATATTCCTCTTTTTATTAATTAAATTATTAATATTAGAACATATGAAAATATGATTAGATCTTAGCGGATCTTATAGAGGAAGTTCCAGGAACTTTTTTGTTCTGGCTGTTATTGCTTTATACCAGAAATATTGCACTCTTTCATTTAATAAAAATTGTCGAATATTGAACCCGGAGTGTGCGTATAAGAAAACCTTATCCAAAAATTTTTTCGAACAGGTTTATCTGAAGGTGGCAAAGATGCATGCCAGGGCGATAGCGGTGGCCCTTTAATATGCAGAAATCCCAACAATCCCAATCAGTGGTACCTAGCAGGAATAGTAAGTCACGGCGAGGGATGCGCCAGGCCAAATGAACCTGGAGTTTACACCAAAGTTAGCAGATATATGGGGTGGATAGCTGAAAACACAAGTAAGTTAAGTTCAACCAACTAACTTGCACAGTCTACTGTAATATTATTTTCACAACTTCCGGTTTCATACTGAATGAATCGAACTTGCTCATATTTCGTGAACTATCCTGTTCAGAACTTAACTGAAACTGGTCCTCATTCTACTGTGTACCTGTTTATATTATAATGTAACTTAAGTAGATGACTTATTAGACGTTTGCCAAAAATTACTACCCTAAATTACTATAGGGTGATTAACATTGATGACTTCTTAGACGTTTGAAAATTTTATTATTCTGAATTTTATGAGTAGCTGGTGCACCTTCTAAAATTATTTTTAAACATACGGGGTGTGTCATGTAGTCGTGGTCAATACTACCTTGGTTATTTTAAGTGGCATGCCCTCTATGTTATTTTATTTTTGGATTCTAAATAAAATTCTGAACAAGTTTTATCTAAAACTTTCCTTTTCTTTGAAAATTTTATGCAAAAATATTAACATCATCCTATACTTATTTTTAGTTATAAATGTTTTTCTCAAAAATTTGCTGAGAACAACCGTTCTGATTAGTCCATTAGGTAGCCTATGATGAAACAATACCAGACTATTGTCGAGTACGGCATAAAAATTGTGCGAGAAAAATGTCTAAAATTGAAAATAATTATAATAAATAAATATAATAATTAATATTGATTAATACTTATGACTTATTTGTAATTGTCGGTGAGTGCTATAAAATTCGCGCTAGAGCGATGTGAATTGAGGAAGAAGATCCGAATTTTACAGAACAAATAACATAGACGAACATCCACTATTAGTTAATTCCAAAATCCCAAGGTTGTTATCCTCTTTCAATGGATGACCAGTGTGTTTGTCACATTTATGAAAGTAAATACATGGAAATAGTTTTTTTTAGACGACTTACCATTAAATTTGAATCAACAAGTTGGCAACAACTCAATACTTTGGATTTTCTTATTTGGGGTCACATTAAAAATTTGGTGTACAATGGAACTCCGTCAAATAACCGCAAACAACAAATAGAACAAATTTCAAGAGCTACAAGATTTTCATCAAATGCCTTTGGCGCAATGTCGGCGATATTGTCTAATTATTGTAATAATTGTAATATTGTAAATTTGTAAATTGTAAATTTTTTCTAATGATATTCCATAATAATTATTACGGCATACCAGTCTACTACACTCGTTTGAATCAAAAAAATTATTTCTTCTACATTTGAACTAAAATTGGACAAAGTGAATAACTTTATTATCATTTAATATCAAACTTCTCAAAGGGTAACCATTTTTTTGGTACCCATTGCATACTTCAGTATATAGGATACTCCATTTAAAATAGGAAATAATATTGACTACGGCTACATAATATTTTCTGCATATGTGAAAATATTTTTTAAAAATGCACTAGCTACTCATATATATTCATATCAAAATTCAAAATACTAAAATAAGTCCTTCTTGCGATACGTATAATAGGCTATCTACGTGAATCACCCTGTATAGTGTTTGAGAGAGCGGTGTTAAAGGAGGGACATGAGCATTGTCTCAGATGATTGATTACCATATTGGTTAAAAATGAGTCCCTTTTAAGATTGTTTGGATGTTTCGGGATTTCTATGCATTCTCGATTTCTCGAGTTTTACATGCAAGAACTTTAGTTTGGTCAAATAATGTATGATGTTTGGCTTCATGATTATGTTCAGTCACTGCTTAAGGCTCTTAAGGTAATAGAACCCAACCTTAAATCAGCTAGTAAAACTTAATCTCTATTAGAAACCTTGAAAAAAATCTGCCACCCCTCACGATTTTAAAATTCAACTTGTCTACGATCTACCTAAGATTCACAAGCCCGAATTACCCCTTCAACCTATTGTTAGCACGATTGGTTCTATTCCTATTCTCTAGCCGCATATCCAGGTTCTATATTAAAACCTCTTACAGGGAAAACTTATAGTTTCACTTCATTGAACAACTAACAATTAGATCCAAACGATATTCTGTTAGTTCGGCTTTTTATCAAGGTGCCTAAAACTCTAAACATTATTTGAGACATATTAAAATTGGAGGGTCTGGAATCAAATCATCTGTAACAAATCATTTGTAATGATCAAATTTATATCTTATACATTTATGGAAGAATTTAAAAGGAAGTCGCCTTGGACACTTTGTATCTTTTTTATTTGGCTTCAAGGTCAAGGATGCCCAAGAGATTTATTTAACCATTTAAAGTCTATACACATCCGTTATACAATTGAATTTGAAACTCTCATTTTTATTCTTATTAGTAGATCAGACGCAGTTTGGTACATTACAATCCTGCCCAAAATCATCGGTTATCAACTCTCTTGTTTACAAAGCGGCAAAACCATCTACAGACGAATTATCGAACGCACAATTAAAAGACAACATCATATATCAAAAAATTCCGTTTGAGACACCAGAAGTTGCCAGAGGCATTCCGTGAATATTAATCGTAAAATATCAACTAGGAGAAAAGAACATGAAAGAGCTTTTATCAATTATTCTACCAGAAAAAATCCATAGAACTGTCTAAAAAAACACACACCCTTTACCTTTCACCCATATGGGAATCATCTTCTCCCATCATGTCCCTCCGCCCTCCTCAAGTACGGAGTAAAATGCAATAGTTTCAGTTGAATTCCAAAGAAGTCAATATGTGAAACAACTTAGTTTTCAGTATTCTAGTTAGCTAGCGAATCAATGAATATCTTTACCTTATTGCAGGGGAAAGTAGAACAAGTTTTAGAGTTCCTCTTCACAAATGTCCGGGCTTTACGTGTAAGGGAACTAGAAGGTGTATGCCGAAAAAGCGGAAATGTGACCGAATCATCGATTGTTTATTTGGCGACGACGAATTGAATTGTGACCACAGCTTCCACACATTGTTTAAACATTCCAGGAATAATTTCTTTAAAGATCCATCTAGTGCGTCAGCCGATACATTATTCAGTGATTTTGTGAATAATTTTGAACCAGATATTGGTATCTTGGGCAGTAAACAAACTACCATCGCCGAGAATAAAACCAGCATAAAGGAAGACTCTAATTCTGCTCAGTATGGCATCGACTATTTCCGATGCACAAGGTAAAATCTTGGGCATCAAATTCCGAAATAAATATTTAAAAATTTTAGTTTGCTGCAAGCAATTCCGTTGAAAAAAAAGTGTAACAAAATTTTGGACTGTGAGGATGGGTCGGACGAGATTAACTGTGCCTGTGCTGATTACGTGAAAACTCAAGACCCATTGGCTATATGCGATGGAATCAGGGACTGCAGCGATGGATCTGATGAAGTCAATTGTGGTAATCACGCTATAACATTTTGGGTTTATTTATATTTATGTACATATTTATCGTATGGCTGCACATGATAGTTTGAAAGTTTTCCTCATACTTGCCCATTCCGGCACCATATGTTGAACGGTTTGGTTTTCAGCACAGCAGTCATAGATTGCCTTCTTCTCCGTTTGTGTAATGAGTTCGCGCATATTCTGTCATTTTAAACATAGCGGACCAAAACAATGTCATCTTGTTTACTTTATACCACTGACGAAGATTTTTGAGCCAAGATATTCTTCAGAGACTAGTTGCACGCTCTACCTCTATTTTTCCCTGAATAATTATTCCCGGATCCCGGTGTGGGTGTGGACCCAGACCAACGTGACCTTCCTCCCTCAGCCACTATCCCCAGTACCCCTTTGCACTCCAGCATCAACAAGGAGCGCATACGCACTGACTTCAGCGCCATAAATGCAGCCCTACTATCCGAGCAGAAGAAGACCCTTCTGCTTCCATGGTTGAGCCGAAGAACCTCTCTGGCCGCCATCAATATCAATATATCGAACTTGTCGGACCCAGAGGTACCGACAAGTTCGATCCCGTTGTCTCGCAGTACGCTCCAGCTCCGGCCAAATCTCCCATTCTGGACCCGTCCGTGTACCAGACAAGTCCATCCCAGGAGCCGACTCTGCCCTCTCTCCACTCTTCCCTTGATGGGAAGAGAAAGGTCCATTTGATCCATTATGCTGACAAAACTGTTTTTTTTTGCTGATAACTATCCATTTGCTTTTCTTAATTTTTAGGCTTAGACAATGTATTGATTATCGTCTGTTATCGTTGATAAGATTGATAAGATTGTAAATCATCCTTGTCTGTTACTAGTAAGCCATTCTCGTCAGCGTTAAATTGTTGATGACAATTCCATTAGCAATTATGCGTTTCATTTTGCCTTGAACAGATTCTCTGAAGATTTTTTCCAATAAAATAATCAAAATGGGCGAAGGCACACAACCTTGTCGAACTCTTCTCATAATATGCACTTATTCAGATGCCTGGCCATTAACTCTTATGTCGGCTGTGTGATTAAGTTAGTTTCTTGCAATTCAGTATATCATTATTTTACTGATTCTATAAAGGAGATGTTGTTTGGTTCCTTCAGTTAAGTGCAACGACCACGAATATGTTTGTCAGTTCACTCAAAAATGTATTCCGGCGGAAAAAAGATGTGATGGAAATTTCGATTGTCTTCAAAAGGAGGATGAATTAAATTGTGGTAAGTACCACAGTAAGTTATTATTCTGACTTCTTACAAATCTTATAAATGAATTAACCTGATGCATAAGCGAAGGCAATTGTATCTTCAGCAATGAGGGTCATATTTAATAATAAAAACCCTAATCACTAATTATTAATTAAAATAGAAGTTGATGTATTTGTCAAGCGAAATTGATAATATATGCGGAATTTGTAAAGGATGAGAAATTATGTTATTTGCAATTGGTCCTGTGCAATAACTAATGAGCGTCCTACGACCATTAGTTTTTTGCACTTTCTTGCAAGTGTCAGCGTTGCGTTGACGTCAGTAGTGGCTAACGTCAAAATATCATCAGATTTTGCAACATCTCCTGCATCACAAGGTCGTGCACCTCTAAGTTGCCAGTCCTCACATATGGAAAGCGACATATCTGGTTGCGTCGTGATGATAATATCAAATATAGATGAAGAAGGATTAAAAAAATGCTTTAATTGCTTCCAATTATTTGCATCTATTTTTGATATTTAACAAGCACTTGAAGAAGCATTGCCGTACCTTTTTACACATTTTCTCATTATATTTTAACGTATATTATTCTTTAGCAGAAGATTACAAGTGTTCTTTAATGCACGCTTGATTAAATGATCCTATTTTAATCTGGTGTTTTTAACTTATCTGTTAGTACTTCTCCTGTTGATTCACAGTGGAGTTTGTAGCTATTTTAATTGTAGGGCGTCGAAAATTCAGTTTACATCTCTTAGAATGAATGAGATTCGAAATTGTTTGACTTACTAGTACATCTTGTAGTCCTTAAATTCCAAATTATCTTATTTAATTCTATTGATATTAACAACTATTTCTATAGTAACACACTAAATACAATTCTTTATAATTGTGAAATGTCACAGTCTCCAGTTGAAATATTTTGGCATTGTATCCCTTACAACCTTTCAAAAATAGGAGAAATATTTGGGTTTCACAACTGAGGTTGGTAACGATGGCTAAACTTTGAAGAAAGTTTTCGAAAATTTTCTAGCAGCGAATTGTACAACATAATTGCATTTTATACATAACCTCTCCTAAAAACGAAGTATGATACTTAGGAATAGAAAACACAACCACTGCTCGGATGATTTGACTGTTTCTTTTAATTTGTCGCTTTTTCAGTATCAAATATCTTAACGAAGACGTCTAAACATATAACCTTAGTGTGAATGGTATTTATTCTCCTTTTAGTAGTAACTCACCGATTGTTTACAGTCTGTAGTTTCATTTTTTTCATTTTCAATGTACCGAAAATATCTGACTGCATCTAAATCTTGACCGCGGGCTCCTTAAACACGTTTTTTAGATATCTTTTCTGTCATATTTTCATCTACCCCGGTTTTGATATTTTTAGATGGAATTTCTCTCTATAACATCGACCACGTGTCTAATTTAAATTCTTCTAGATTATCGCAGATGCAAACTTTTCCCAGCCACTACAAACACAAAATTTTCCTTTATGTATCGGGTATTATTGCACTATCAAAAAAGAATTTCATCACGCAACTCTTATTTAGATATTTTCACTGCTTTGGACGTTACTGTAACTCGCAAGTTGTAACGGTCCCTTTTCTTAAATGGGGATTATGAAAAGAAACGGCAACGGCTAGTCCTTTTTTAGAGTTTTTGGGTCTTTGTTCGACTACAGATTCGATACGCTCCCTGTAGAATGAACGGGGCGCCACCAAGTCATCACCTAGTTATGTTGGTATTGAAGTCTGCGACTTGGAACAAGTTCTATTTTAAACGGTTTTATACATTTTCTAGGTGGTTAGGAATAAAGTAACGGATTACGTAGAAAGAAAAACAACTGATAATCTTCCGATGTTATTTTAATTAAACTGTTTCAGTGGAACGTAGATCTACGTTCCAGTTTGTACTCCGATGTTGAGATGGGTTCGTGGAGGTGTTTGTTTTAGTTTTAAAATAACAATTTGATTCTTGACTAATGCAAAAATAAGAGTTACATCTTTTATACAGACTCAGTCTAGAAATATTATTTGCAAATTATTTATGAAAATCAAAAAATATATAAAAACACAGTAAATTTACTCCTCGAAAGGATATTGATAATTACAACACTAACTCCCGAATTGTTGACTCAAAATAAATAAAATACAGCTGTAAACCACTTGATCAAGGGATTTCCGCGACGTAAAACTTGTAAACGAAAGTATTATCAATTAATATGCGATAAGTTACTTATCAGTTACCCTGTACATTAAATACTCTGCTTGTAAATATGTATTGTTTAAATTTAGGTTAAACATCGCGATAGGTTTCACATATAGGCAAATCGATATTTGAAAAGAAAGTTTGTACGACCTTGCTCAAGTCCTACTCCTGGTGGGCTAATTTACTATGCTTGTTTTTGTTATTTACATTCCATTCAACCATCCCTGGTAGGCAGGTGAAGTGCTCGTTTGGCAAACGATACTACTGCCACAGTGTTTACGGGTTCTGTTCGATGGACACTAAGCCGAGTCGGAACTTGCAGCTTGAGTTACCAAAAACGTGACCCAGTCTTGAAACCCTTAAACTACGTTAAAATATAACCACAATCGAAACTGTAATTGACAGGTAATCGGCATGAAACAAAGGGCTCTACAAGCTACCTATACAAGCATCGCATCCTCAATGCACAAAAATACGGGAATGAAAAATACGAAAATGAATGTTCAAAGTTAAGTTCTACACTGAAAAATGTTGAAATGAACTATGAAAATGGATCGTACCAGAACTTCCATTGGGAATATGCCACATGGAATCCACGATTGACCAGAACGATATTAACTTAACACCTTTTTCGGGGCCTACGGAACATAACCAGGAATAACCAACCGGATGAGCAAACAGCATATAACGTGACAATTATCGCGTTTTTCTTCAAAACTATTTCAGCTCTACTTGACCCACTAACACGCCGTCTTCTCACCCTCGGCTCACGTCAAAGGGTGCCTCCGCTAAGCGGTGATCCCACCACCACGGAACCAAATCGGACTGTCACACTGCACCATACGTACCCGAGCCATTTGCCCAAAGTAGCAACGCTACAAAGTCTCTTAATGGCATTGATAAGATAACACCCCTTTTGATAGATATGTTTATGTAGGACAAATTTCTTAATTGCATAATTAACTTGCATTTACATTTTTCGTTATTGTCGCAATACTTCCGTTAAATAGACTAATACAAACAAATGCGTAGGTATTTGCGCTGGATTTAATTTAAACCTTACTAAGCTAGTGCTAAGTTTAGATATCTAGCGTTCACTAATTTTATTTACATTTAAAAAACAAATGGTATCGATTGTGGTACCCCATAAAGCCGCAAACAAAACTGCGGACATCCTGTCAAGATCAGATTACATATACAGCAGATATAATATGGATATCTCTATTTTATTAGCTGGACATGAATTAATAATTAAAAATAAAAAAAAAACACAAGTGTTATAAAAATTCGTGTAGGAAATGAAACTATTAGAGGCCAGGCGACCAAGGGTCGTCCACAAGGAAGGGTTTTATCACCACTTCAGTGAAACACGATTCTAGACAGTCTTATTCAGCACTTCAATAAGGAAAATCACTACACCATTGCATATAGTGATGATTTGGTCATTGCATATGCGAATTGCAATGAAAATTATTAAAAGCATGCTTTGTTCATCGAAATCAGGTAGACTGAAATTGTCCTTTTCACATTGAAACTAGGCGACTTAGTAACTCCGGAGCTCCTAACTACCAAACTAAACTAAGGAACTAAAACACCTCGGGGTGGCATGCCTGACTATTACAGGGGATATGAAAACTACACTAACTAAAACTGTGCAGGTGATATTGTGTCTCACACTTCTCGATATATGCTTAGGAGAGGAATATGGAAAGTAGGAAATGTAGCATGGCGGAATCGCGTTTGGATTGAGACGACAACTTTGTTTCGACTATTGTAGGCGAGAAATTTATATTCCACAAGCACTAAACGACTAATTTCAGAGGGATGATACGCATTAATGTGGCGGTTGTAATTAACGTCTACTACCGGTGGCTCGAAGAGTAAACATGTATCAAGATGCGGAGTGTTCTCCAAATCCCTCATACTTAACATTTTTCTGGGTATGGATAAGATGTGCTGCAGACGGAGCTCGCTGGTTTTACTACAGCCGCAAAAAATATGACTAGATGCAAAGTTACTGGAAAAACTGTATTCATCTATATAGATAGCAGACAGACAGTTGTGATACATTTTATACGTCAAAACTAGCACTGAAATATCACCGTGCTTTCGTTGACGCGTCGGTCGATGCGGATCCCTAGTAGAATTAAAGAGCATGAGCATTATAAAGGAGATCATGCCGCTGACAGCCTAACCAGGAGAGCTGCAGTATTAAGCGTTACTTTGTTTTTGTGGCGATGTCAGTCATTAAAGAAATGATATAAGAAAACCGAAACAATTTCTAAAATAATAAAATGAAACAGGAAACTGTTGCCTAACTATTGAGATATTTAATGGATGACGTTTGGGAATAAGTGCTTGACATCAAGAAAAATTAACTTTGGTATATCAAAAATCACAACTCTAAATATTAAATCATTAAATCTTTAATCTAAGAAATCGCAAACCATCTAAAGTTGAGAAACGGTTCAAATATTTTAATAAACAAACGAGATTAGTGACAGTATCAATCACATCAAATCACATCGCGTGGACATCCTCGACATATACATGGACATGTAAATCGGCGAAATAGGGATATCCATCGGATGTTTTGGTCAGTTTTGGTTTAGTTTCTTTTCTGTATTTGATATTAATAAAAAGAGAAAAAATAACATTAACCATCGTATAACAAAATACTGGATTTACCTACCAAAATCTCGTTTCTTGAAAAATAATCTTATATTAACTGGTTATTGCTCTATCTCGTAAGGGAAAAGATTTAGGAGTTGTTGAAAGGGGCTCTTCTTAATTGACAGCTTTACCCTGAGCAGGTTGATTTAGATTGCTCAATAAATTAAATAAATACAATTTATTTTATCGAAATAGTTAAATGTTATATCACTTTTTTTCCATATTTTTCCTAACCGATAATATAAGTAAAAAAAAGTCAAAATAGTGTCGCATCTTTGGGAATATTTTCAGTATACCACTATGAAAAACTTTTGGCAAAATATATATAAATTTATTGTTAAAATACAAAACTTATATTTAAAAAGATAATATTATTTAATACTAATTTAATATGATTGAATATTGCACAGCATATTGTTAAGGAAAAAGACTAATATAGATGATCACTTTCACCTGAATAACTAACAATTGGAACTTGTCAATTCAAATACGTGTCTAGGATGACCACTCCAGAGAAATCATTCGAGCTAGAATAGATAAAGAAAGAAGGGCATTTTACATTTTAAGCAATATGCTATGCAACCTTACGCTGACAGCAGAATAAGCATTATCCGCTCTTGTGTCTTCTCAGGCTTGTACTATGGAGTAGATGTGTTATAGGCACATGCTTAGGATACCTTGGATATTGCATGTCAAAAAAGAAATCATTTTACAACGTAAGGGGTGTTTTTTTTCCATGTATAGAACTTTAAGTTGCAATAAAACCACCATGAATTATTCGAATCACATGAATTTTATTTATCCGAAAGATAATCTTGTGGCATTACATTTTAAATATGATTTCTGGCATATGACCGCCACGGCTGGCGCGGATGTAGTCCAATCTGGACGTCCAATTTTCGATGACTTTTTCCAACATTTGTGGCCGTATATCGGCAATAACACGGCGAATGTTGTCTTCCAAATGGTCAAGCGTTTGTGGCTTATCCGCATAGATCAATGACTTTACGTAGCCTCACAGAAAGTAGTCTAGCGGTGTTAAATCACAAGATCTTGGAGGCCAATTCACAGGTCCAAAACGTGAAATTAGGCGGTCACCAAACCTATGTTTCAATAAATCGATTGTCGCACGAGCTGCGTGACATGTTGCGCCGTCTGGTTGAAACCACATCTCCTGGACATCATGAATATTCAATTCAGGAATGAAAGAGTTAGTAATCATAGCTCTATGCCGATCACCATTGACTGTAACGTTCTGGACATCATCGTTTTTGAAGAAGTACGGACCAATGATTCCACCAGCCCATAAAGCGCACCAAACAGTCCGTTTTTCTGGATGTAACGGTGTTTCGACATACACTTGAGGATTAGCTTCGCTCCAAATGCGGTAGTTTTGTTTGTTGACGTAGCCATTCAACCAGAAGTGCGCTCAATTGCTAAACAAAATTCGCGCTTATGAAAATCGGGAACAACGGCAATTTCGTTTTGGGCCCATTCGACGAATCTACGCCTTACTTGATGATCGTTTGGCTTCAATTTTTGCACTAGCTGGACTTTTTAAGCACGCAAACCAAGATCCTTCCGCAAAATCTTCCATAAAGTGGATGGACACAGATCCAATTCCTGTGCTTGATGGCGGATGGACTCATTCGGGTCTTCCTCAATGCTACGCTCTACAGCAGCCAGCAATAGCTTCGTAGTTAGTGCGAGTTATCAATAAGAGTAAACGTGGTACGAAAACGTTCCATGGTTAATCGAATTAACTGCTCTGATGGACGATTTCGTCGACGATAAAATGGACGTAGTGCCCCATACGTATTCCGCACAGAACCATTATTTTCTAAATAAAATTGCACTATTTGCAAGCGTTGTTCAGGCGTGAGTCTATTCATGATGAATTGCCAAACTGACAATAAATCATTTGACAGCTGTTAAATCGGTCGCCATCTTCAACAGTAATGCCAACTTAAAGTTCTATACATCGAAAAAAAACACCCATTATAAATATAGATATATATATATATATATATATATATATATATATATATATATATATATATATATATATATATATATATATATATATATATATATATATATATATATATATATATATATATATATATATATATATATATATATCAATTTCTTTTCACAATAGATGGCGGGTATTATCAGCTTATTTAGGGCGGCGGTATACAAAATTAACCGCAACAACGACGTCAATTAAAGATACTGCACTGGACGAAGAGGTATTCTGGCAAATATTCCCATGTATGGCCACATTATTTTGTTTGTCTTTTACTGGTAATTTTACACATTAAACTTGCTGACGTTTCCCCAATTGTCCTGTTGACTTCTTCAGAAATAAACTGAAACAGTGTCAGTTTAGCTTTGCAGAACCCAACAGGATTGACGAGGCTTGTTTTACTGTTATTATAGATTAGTAAAGACATGCGTGTTAGATCCTTATTTTTAAACGACAACTTTAGAAGGGTGTTCTTTGTAGTAATCTGTAATATATGATTATGCCTCAAAAAACGTAATTTAAAATTTAAAAGTCAATTGCTCCCTTTGGGGGTCTTCTTAATTGACCGCTCGAAACATGAAATCATCCACAAAAAGTGGCTATGGAGAATCTGGGTACTTTCAAAATCGCATTTAGGTTGAAATCCCCATGTAACTTCCCAAGCTGTGACAGCATCCAAATATGAGTTGCGCCATTAAATTTATCTTAGAAAAGTAGTCGATTTTGAGATAACACTTTGTAGCCGCCCTTACCAATGGAAAACATCTGCTTCTGGATAAAGACGGCCACTCCACTCTATTGTCTGCCGGACTGGTTTCAATCAATCGTGACGATGTTTGGAAGCCTTTATGCGTAGAAGATTCGTCTCATTATCAAGCTTCCGTTGCGGCACATATTTGCAATCTATTGGGTTTCGAGGAGTACCTTTCCTTTCACAAATACATTTTGGAAAATGGATCATTAACCACTTTTAATGCTAAAGAATATTTATTTCGTGTAAACAGAACTGGAAACGAATCTGCAGCATGCACGAACAATTGCTGCAATGGTTTGTTTGTTAGGTAATGCATTTCAATTCATTCTTCCTGTGGACATTAATTTAACCATAATTTCCTCGCAGATGCTCCGAAAGTTCCGTCAGCAGGACCCTGAGCTACAATAGAGCAGGTGGCAATTTGGAGCTGTATTTCCTGCCATGGATGGCGGCTATATATATGGATGGAATATTTAATTGTTTGGGAACCATAATCGAGAAAAACTGGATTGTCGCTTCAAGTTACTGTTTTAGAGAGGTTTCGCTGTAGGTGAACGACATCATATTTAATGAGAATTGCCAGTTTTGGATCGTTGGGTTGGCCTGAAATTATAAAAAACGCGTAAAACACGATCCTTATTCTCAATAAGCGAATGAGATTTTTATAAAGTACAGAAACTAAGTAAAATAAAAAAAATCCAAAAAGCCAAAAATTATCGTTTTTACAAAGTACTGTGTGTCCGAAATAAAATTTCCTACCTTCTTAAGTCAGAAACTCCGAACGATAGAAAAAGATTTTTAGAATAGGTTTTTTTTTCATAAACCTGGTTATTGGTAATTCGATACACTCCTTGAAAGTGTGATAGGGTGGGAAGAAGGGAATAAGTTTTAGCCTAATATGCATTACACAAAACTAAGAGATAGTCGAACTTTCATTGTCTTTTGGACAATACTTTCGTTTCGAACTTCCATTGTTCAAAGACGTTTTTAACACGACGTTCATACGGTGACAGGTAGCGAAGAAGCAAGGTCATCGGTTGATGATCGTTGTCGGGTGGGTCAGATCAAGGTTCCTTACGCATGACAGTGACACCTTCTATGAACTTTCTCTTCTTTCAGTGGGTTTCCTTTTGTAGAATTCTGGCATCTGTCCATTTAATTCTGTAATGTTCTATGTCCAAGTGTGCTCTGCGAGACCAGATGTATTTGTTTCTCCACGTCGGGTATGTTTCTTGTGTTCTGCTATTCTTAGATGCAGTGATCGCTTCGTTTCGCCTACGTAAGATTTTCCACACTCGCAGAACACTTGATCTATACAGTTTTGTTGTCTGTGATGTTTTCTGTTTTTGTTTTCGTTATTAAACTTCTCACAGTTTGCCCACAACGGAAAGGGAATTTGATCTATTTTGTTGCATTTCTCATGATCTTTTGGGAAACTCCTTTAACATAGGGAATGGTCATTCGTTGGTTTTGGCTGGTCTCTTTAGATAACCGTTTTGCATTAGATCTTCTTTAATTTGTTCAGAGCTTGGTTGCTACAGATACTTTTTGCTCGTTTGTATAGTGATTGGATTATTCCTTGTTGGTTGGATGATTCTTTTAGGCATTGGCTTGTATGTGTGGGCTTTCTGCACAGTGAGGTATTTATCTGAATCAGATCTCATGACCAAGACATCCAGGAATGGTATGGCGCCATTTTACTTTTTCTCCATTGTGAAGACGGACTGATGCCATCAATGTGATCCAGGGAATATTCTAGCTTTTTTCATTTTGGTCCCAAATATTGGTTTGCCTTGAGTCAATGTTTCTGACTATGGGTATTTCATAGATATTTTAAAAAAAGTAAGATTATGTTTTTCAGACAGGTTTGTTAGCTTTGAAGTGGGAAGTTTATACACGCAAGTGCCCGTGCCCTTGCAGGAATCATTACACACTGGCTTGGCCAAATTGAGGAATGATACAACATTTCCAGGCATGACTTTGCTATCGCTGGAGGGAGTGCTCGAGCTCCTTAAGTGTTGTCTGCATAATTCTTACTTTCCAGTCAAAGATAAGGTTTACGCACAAGATGAGGGCGCACAGCTCTGTCTCCAGTGGTAGCATGGAATGGTTTGAAACTCACTCACATGTTCTAGTAAGTAGAAATAATCGGTTTACCTGAGTATAGCATATACCGGTCAGTCAAAAATTTAAGACAATGGAAGTTCGTCAGTCTCCTAGTATTTAAAACTTAGTAGGTTTTGAGATATTATAATTCTTTTTTTTTCTCAAAAATTTAATGTCTTAAAAGGTAGTTTTAAAAACCCGCTTTTTTTTTAAATTCAAATGGATTACTTGCCCAACATTATAGGCTTTTACTTTAAATTAATATAATTATAGGTATAATATTTTTTCTTTTTGAAAAAATGTCACAATTTTTTATTACAATAAAGTACAAGCGGCACCATCATAATGAACGTACTTAAAAAATAGCGTTTACTTTTTTTGCATTAGTACTTATTTCTTACTTTCTTGGCGATACTGCAACTACATGAACTTATTTGCAATAGACTGTGCTTAAAAAATGACAAGTGTTTTTCATCGTTATGTGTTTTGGTTAGTGTTATCGCTGCATATTCTGACGGCAAATCGAAAGTTACAAAGTAGTGATGACGGAATAACTGAGTGAAATGAGTAATAATGAGGACGAATTAGCAATTAGTGTATGGATGAAAATGAGATATGTCTTACTAGAAGTTAACAAACAAATGAAGCCAACAACTGAGAAACACAGAAAGATACGGATCAGCAACAAAATATGGACTGAAATTCAAAGAAGGAAAGAAATAAAGACTTCAGGCTAAACAATCAAAACCCACTAAAGGAAGACGGACAACTAAATGTGAATATAAAACGTTTATATAGGAAAGACAAAACTCGAAATCGAAATTCACTAGAACAAAAATGAGACGAGAGACATGTTCAATAAAAATTGACCAAATAACTCGTAACTTTAAATCTAATTACAACTGCATTAAATCAGAGAACGCAGCAATATTGACAAAGGAAGAGGACATACTCGAGCTTTGGAAATCTTATTGTTGCAAACTAATAAAAAGGAGCTTCGTATGATGAGCAAGCAGCTCTCAGAAAATTAAAACAATTTAAATCGCCTGGTATCGATCGGTTACGGCTGAGAGAGATTACAACAGGAGAGATAAGTGCTAGAATAATTCATAAAATATGTCAAAAGATTTTTCAGACAGGCATATGGCCTGATGACTGGGTAACTTCAATTTATGTTCCACTCCACAAGAAAGCGCTAAACATAAACATAATTCTTGAAAGATTAATGACATATTTACCACCGGAGATTCCAGAAGAACAAGCCGGATTTGTGCGTGGTCGAGGTGCATAGGAACAAATATTAAACATAAGACAATTAATTCAAGGAAATACAACATCGTTACTTATATCTGCTTCATAGACTACAGCAAGACCTTGGCCTGCGTTAAGTGGCTAAAGATGTGACCATATCTCCGGGGGATGGGCACTCCCAATCGTCTCATAGAGCTCATAAAAAATATTTATGACAATAATACCGCAAGGTTAAAAGTTAACGGTGAACTTACTGGTCCCTTCAGCGTGGCAAAAGGTGTACGACAGGGATGTGTTGTCATCCTTCTCTCTTCAATGCATACGGCGAAACCATTAATAGGAAAGCTACCTTTAAAAAGATCAACAACTCGAGGTATCATCATTATTCACAGGATTAATAACAACAAAGCAGAAATCAAAAGGATTCATGATATGATAGTTAGTTTGTTGGATACCTGATAACAAACACAGGATGCTGCACTGAAGAAATAAAAAGATACATCTCATAAAGGTACGATACCCAGAACAACAAGAAGTAAAAAATATATATATATATTAACTAAATAAACAAATCATTAAGGTCATGCCGACTATTAATTCGTGCGGCCGATATCAAAAACATATAAATAATCACCTTAAAAAATAAAAACTAAGTCGGCCTGAATGCTGAGTTGACATTTAAACAAACACGTCATCTTACTAAATGGTAAAAAATTTTGCCAAGTTTATGTGGACCGTTTGTATCAGTTTGGTTGTAACTGAAGTTGGGTATTTAAATATTAATATGTTTGATGGAAGGAAGAAAATAATACAAATTGCCAGAGGCAGATATAATCTACAGTTAAGCGACATTACCAAGTCGGGAAAATGGTAGCACCGGATCGAAATTAAAACCGTCTGAATGGAGTGAAGGCAGGCAGCCAGGCAAATCTCCATATTGCAAAGATATTGCAAAAAGTTGTTTCATATTTGCTGCCTTGAGATTTACATTTTTGCATTGAACTTTATTTCGAAAAATACGATAAAAGCCTTGTTAACCGAGCGACAGACAAAAAGCGCTTATTTTGGTATAAAGAACGAGTGATCACACGAATATTAGAAATTCGCTTATTTTTTGGAGTGCTTAAAACGTGCTGCAAGTTCGCTTCTGAAGAAATGATTTAGGGCAGTATGGGTGCGAAGGAAATGTAAAATATTCAGATTTATCTTTCAGTAAGATGAAGCGTCAAAGTACCTGATATTAGTTTGAAAACTAAACTATTCAGGTTAATGGATTGAACTTCCAGCAGTCCCGACTTGAATGTAATAGAAACCTTGTGGCACGAAATGAAACAGACATTTAACGTTTAAGGTCCAAAATTAGGAAAGTGTTGAATTCAGGCTTCCATGAATTCTAAAACAATTTTGGCCATAATTCAGGCAAAAAGCGGTTTTACGTCGGATTAAATTGTTAAATTGTCTTAAATATTATTAAAAACGTTTGGGGCCAAATATTTAAAGTTTAGTTTAATAAATTGTTTATTTATTACATATTTTTTGTTTAGTTTTTTTCGCACTTCAATTAAAATTATGGCTTTAGTGAAAATTATTTTATTTATTATTTATTATATATGTAAATCTTGAAATGGCTGAATATATAGTTTTTACGGCTCGTAGTTAATTGAAAATAGTCTATTTAATATATTACTGATACTTTCACATAACTCTCTATCCATTTCAATTTCATAACTAAAAAAAAATCCATTAACATTTTCTATTTACAAATCTTCTGGATTGCTTGATTGTTGATTAATCGAATTTGTTGACTTTCCGCCAATCATATTTTCGCCTTCTTCTAAACTGAAACTGGTTTGCATTCTCCTCTGCATCTACTTACTTACTGTTTGAAAGAGGAGTTAAAGGACATGAACATTTTCTCGGATGACTGATTCGCAAATTGATGGATTTAAGATAGTTTTACGATTCTGTATACAACAGAGTTAAAAACCAACGACTTCTATGCCAGATGGTGATGTGACAATGCATTAAGTTACCTCAGACAATTCTTACATTTGAGATATTAGGCGTTTCATTCCAAATGAACTTTATCACAACCTTCCAAATAAAATGAGTCTGAAAGCAACCATATATTTGGCAATATGGTCCTTCCTTACTAACCACAGATCAAAAGGTCTTAATAAATATAACTTTAAAAACCAGTTATTTCCTATTAGATCTATATCGTCTGCAAAGGCCAATAGAAGTTTGGGATCTTCAGGAAAGAATACTGAAGTTGCTGCCTCAATTCTCGATCTCCTCTATGTTCCAGAGCTAGAAGATTTGTGGCGAAAGCACATCTCCCTACTTTAGATCAGTGTTTACCGCGAATTGCTCTGAGTATTGTTATCCTATATTAACTTTGCTGCTGGAATATTTACATTCTTATCAGACTGACCAGATTTTGGAGAAGCCAAGTTCTTGCATTGCTGTTCACAGTTTCGTTTTCATACTTTATGAAATGCCTGCTTGAAGTCTATGAACATTTGATGCAACTCTTGCTCATATTCCCAGCAATACCTATCTAATGGTGAAAACCTAGTAAATAGTTGAACGTCTTGATCTGAATCAACATTGATAGTCTCCAAGTATTTCTTCAGTGCCTATATGGTTTGCATCTTTCTACTAGGATATTCGAACAACTCAACAACTTCACCTTTTTTGAATGTATATTGTTTTGTTTCTCGGTATTTGGGTTAGCTGTTTTCAAATTAACTTGAGTCAATTATTCAGAAATAGAACTTCTCAATATCTTTATAAGTTTTGATGGCACCCTGACAAATATTAATAGTGTCTCCACTACTAATTATAATTTCTAACAATAGCATTTGTTTATAAAATGTGTTATTCGGTAGATCGTGAACAAAACAATGTTTCCCTTTTTATTTATATATAAATATTATCAACCAGCAACGTATGCTCTCAAGGAACACGAAAATAAAAAATATTAAGAGAGAAACAAGGACTGTCGTTATAAAGTATGCTGTGGGTCTATTATAAGGATATTGGAAACTATAAGAGATAGGAAGATGATTAAATTAGAGTAAAGTTGCAAAATTTAAAGGTACTATTGACAAAAATAAAAAAATCAGAAGATTGTGTGGTGTTATTTAAAGAAATATGAAAAGAATAGGTTACCTTCTCTTTGACAGTTTTTGAGTCTACAAGATAGCGTTGAGAAATTTTCGAATCGGCCAAACCATCATCAACATATGGGCAGTGAAAAAACTACACGAGCAAATAATATTGGAAATGTTTCCATTTTTCTGACACTTTTTAGTATACTATTTGTAAATTGTTCTTCGCTATCTTCTAAAATTCAAAATTTGAACGGGTGAATTATATATTTTTAAAAAAATCAGGATACACATGTCATCCTGAATAAAAATATATTAATTTTAATTCTAAATTATTTTTTATTACGGTTGAGACGATAATTTGTTTTTTAATATAATATAAACATATAAAAAAAATTCCCTAACAGTTAATAAGCTCTGCAAGTTAGTGAATATAAACGACACTTCTTTACAATTGGAATATTCGTTTTTAGATTACAGATGCATTATGTGGTTGCAGTTGTTGGGAAGGGAAAACTGCATTTGGACGTAGAAGGACCTCACGAACAATTGATTAGAATAATAGAGATCATCAAGGTAGACTCGACAGATATTACGCTACTTCGGACAGAACGCAATGTAACAATTAACAGATATGCAAGGACCGCGAATTTAAATATCAGGTTTGTCACACGTGTAATGCAATTTTTCTTGCAAACTACCAAACAAGATAAATATAGTAGAATCTACCTAAATTTGTTATCACAAGTTCATTGGAACTAGTCAACAAAGTTAAAGGCAACATGATAGATAATATTCAAACTCAAAGACAAAGTAATATTATTATAAAACATGATTTAGTCAGGTATAGGCAACCGTTGATATGTTGTGGGCTAGAGTGCCATATTTGCACTTTTTTTATCATAGATATCAGACACGAAAAAATACGACATTATTTTTATAATACAATTAATTAAAACAACAAAATTAAATAAAATAATAGAACATTATAATTAAATAATGATATTAGAAATTATTACAAACAACGAGAGTTAAATACCGACAACAAAATCAATGAGACACTCGAGCTTGAATATGGAACACATTCATCGATGTTTGTATTAATTTTCTTGAATTTTCCAAATTATCATCTATTACTGAAAAGGAAACCTGAACTATTCGAAAGTGTACTTTATTGTGTCCTTAAAATACATCCTCCACAAGGCCAATTATCTCTTCTTGCGTCGGGACAAACAAAGCAATCAAACAATAAAAGTGGGCACTTGCTTATGAATCATGCGACGCTACAGCCTGGAGATTTACGTATTTTTAAGAAACTCACATACAGGGTATAATTTTATATACCACTTGGAACCCATCATTGCTTAATATATTTGTGAACTATATAAAAGGATCCCTTAACACACCTGTCAACCTTGCACGAGGTTTTTGAAATTTCTAAATCTGTTCGAAAATTATTAGTAGATAGAGTTCTCGGGCATATTGAGCATAAGCATCCAAAAACCCCTTGAACTGACGATGGTTAAGCCATGAAGATGAAACAGAATTGATGGTTTTTACGTAATATTCTGAAGTCTAATTACCTAAGAACAACTTAGCAGTTCTGTTGGTGGATAATACAATGAAAACCTATCAAATCATCATTTTCCACATTTAATTCAGTTGCTTTTCCATTCAAAATTTCGATTAAACCTATACGTAAATCGACCGTGTGTGCATATTCCAACTCATTTGATCACACTTGTCAATATCTAGTGCAAAAAAGTTTAAAACAAGAGTGTGCAGGTTAAAATATGGATCATGTCCTAAAATTTATATCAATCAAACAGAAAATTTAAGAAACCCATTAACGAATATAAAAGGGCGCGCAATAATCAAAGTTCGGATTACAATTATGACATTGATTTACATACAGAAATTCACAAGTTTGAGGATAATCTTGATATTTTACACAGTGTATCAAAAAACCATAAACTGAGTTTATTTAGTACTTATATTTTAGTATTTAATTAACTATTGAATTTGAATGGGTCCCGTTGTTAATGAAAATTTAAAGTTAAAAACTCTATAATCATATGCCATATAGCGCAACTCTCAAATAAATTATTATACCTTTCAGAAGAGAAAGCATTCAAAAAGAAAAATGTTACTCTTTTGAACTCGATACGACACGAAAGTTAACTTTTGTCTCTTTAACTCCGATGAAGAGTTGTATTGTTGGATTTAGATGTTTTGAGGGAACGAAGTCAGACTGCCAGGTGAACGTTTGGGATATAGATTTTGATTTTTAATTGACAAATGGATCAAATATATTTTGTTTTAGGACCGTTTGCTATCAAGTGGTATTGTAGTATGCGACTCAAGAAATGGATGGTATCCGGCAGCGGTATTTCACGACGAACCTGGGTCGTGCGGTATATCAATATATAAACAATACACAAGTATCAGATTCTATAAAAATAAAATTCGGGACACGATGAGTAAGTCTGCGTTAATATTGGCTTTCTATTAAATGCTCCTTATCATGTTTGCTATCAAAAGTCATGAATATACCGGATGTCTCCCAATACAGGCAACAAGGTTGAAATGAAAATTTAATAAAATATTATATAGATTTAATAAAATATTATTAAATAATTCGACCAAAAGAAAAAGCTGAGAATTATTTTTGAGGTTCAACCAGAGGGCGTGATTGACACCTTGAATTTTCAAACACATTTTCTGCAAATTTTTCTTATACTAATGATACTAGATGTAATGTTTTTTACTCTATTTCTAAAAAGAAAATTCACGAACTGCTCCAACATTTTCGGAAATATATATCGTGTCGAATAAATAAACGTGCCATGAATTAGATGATTGACATTGAGTACCCTGCCATAAGATGGCGCTTTCCGACTTAATGCCGAAAAAAATAATTTTCTGAAAAAAAATAATGCAACTTTTTTAATTTTTCGAAGAAACTTCCACAGGCTACTGTAATGCTTTTTACAAAACTTCTGGATTCCTCCTGCGTCGGTTTTTGCTTAGTCGAAATTCAGTCAAGCTCTGAAGAAGCCAACAGGATGATTGGCGAAACGTCAGCAATTTCGACTAAGCAAAAACCGACGCAGGAGGAATCCAGAAGTTTTGTAAAAAGCAAATGCAACTTTATGAATTTTGTACGTGACGCTTGTAAATTAATAACTATCCGAACATTATGAGAACTGTACATTGATAACGATAAAACACAACAAATTGATTGAAATTTGTCCTGCAGCCTGTATTTAACATGGTTGTACTAATTTCAGCTATTGAAAGATTAGCTACAACATTGCGGACAAGATCAATTATATTTTCAGGGCAAGTAGCCTGCAGCCTGTATTTAACATGGTTGTACTAATTTCAGCTATTGAAAGATTAGCTACAACATTGCGGACAAGATCAATTATATTTTCAGGGGTAGTAGGCCGAGTTGAATAAATAATATCTTTTATTCTACCCGAAGGGTAAACATCGGGGATAGTAACGTCTGCCCCTTCCTATCGAACCGTTTGGATGAATCTGGTCTAACAAAATTCTAACTTCGTGAGAAAAATATACTGGACATCCATCATCTTGCAGCCACATATATCCCGATTGTAAAGGAACTTTTTCAAATATTACTTACTTACTTGGGGTAATTTGCTGCGTATACTCGCTCAGCCACACGCTTTGTCGAAGTTCGACATACTAGGCTCGTGACCCGGCTTCGCGAGTACATCGGAGGCCACCGGCCCCTGGAATGCTTTGTTCTAATGCCGATCCAGACTGGTCAACACGGTTAGATTCGTCTTTGGCATACAGCCGCCAATATAGCTCAACAAAGCCATCGCAGCCAGTTATTCCATTTAAAAAACGTTACTTTCATGTTTTCTGCAAGATTGTTACTTACTTTCATCACTTAATCAAAATCGTTTATCAAGAAATTTGAGTAGTGATTTATCGAGTGCAATAACAAGCGCACGAGTCACTCATCCGAATCCCAAACATAGGCATGGTTTCTGAATTATCAAATTTCGCAGCATACTAGAAAAGCAAAATATTATAATATAATATAAAGAAGATGATTTATTTCTTTTATGGTTTTGTACTTCAACGTCACTAACTAATAAACTTAGTCTTTAACAATATTGCTAAGTTTGACTAAACTTAATTTTTATTAGAAAAAAGTGATAATACTCAATATTTGAAAACTTTTAAGGATCTCACAACGTAGTAATAATGTCTATGAAATTGTAAAAAAAAGCTAATATAAACTAAGATAAACAACGAACTTTTATTTCAATATCAATTTATTTCAACAATCAACATCTTTTGAGTTTTAATTTTTTTTTATTTGTATGTTTGTTTTACCTTATGTCAGAAAACACCTCCTGGTCACAGAGTACGCAATCACCACACTCAGCACGTTTGATAAGCATAGGAAAGGGTCTTTTTGACGACTCCAAGTTTATTGAAAGCCATTACACTATTTTGAAGTTATCAACATTTATTTATGTAAATCTTATATAATAAAAGGCATCTAACGAGAATGATTTGAATTTTTTTCAGCTTTAAAAAACAATGTACACTCTAAGTAGGTATCATTAATATAATTTTTGTTTGCTGAAAACGGGTTTTTAATTCAAAACGTCAGGTACGCCGTCTGGTGGAAATTTCAGAACCGATTTAGTTAATAGTTTTTTTCTAAAATTTTTAAAAACATTCGTTTTCCCAATACCGTACCTTGTTGCCCTGACTGGGACACAGCCTGTAGAGGTTTGGTTAAAATATGCAAGAAATAGATTATAAAAATGCTCGAACACATTACAATTTTCTATTGAGCATATTTTGGAGTAAGCAAAATGTATATGGAGTGGGTCAAAAAGTAGATGTCGATACCAATTTCCTTTTATTTTATATCACACACAGAATCCATGTAGCATACCTTATGACATATCTCTTAGTAATTTATTTTTGAAACGAACAGGCAGGTAGCTAGTTACGGTGAAGTTCAAAGTTACATACATTATTCTGTCAATAAAAAAAGTGAATATGGCGCATCTAAATGAAACATGAAATTTAATTTTTATCGAATGTGGAAACAAAACAACTGAACAAGAAGATTGTAGTTGGTTTAAAGTAACTGTGAGTAAAATTGAGAGAAAATCTATAAAATCTATAGAAACATTTAAAAGCATTACAAGCTTTAAGTGTATCGACTTCAAATTGGGATTTGCTTTTAATTTTCATGTACTCCAAACATTTAGATTTTACCACGCGACAGCTATTTGAACTCGAAAGAGATTCGGAACACCTTCCCACATTAAGTGAATTTTTGGAATTCTTAGAAAGACGGTGTTCATCATTAGAAACTTTGACAGGTTATACAAATTTAGACAGCAAATCAAAACCGCAAAGATTTGCACATATTTCAAGTGAAAGTCCTCTAAATACCAATTTCAATTTTGAATGTTTTTATTGCAAAATGAAAAATCATACTATTTACAAATGTATGAAGTTCATTAAACACACTCCAGCTCAAAGAAAACAATTCGTGATGCAAAACAAGCTGTGTTTAAATGGCCTAGGCAACAAACACATTGCTTCGAACTTTACTTCCACTCGACGTTGTTCAGTTTGCGCAGAAAAACATCACACCTTGCTACATAACCCTCAAGGTAAGATGCTGTCATCTTCTCCCGCTATCAATGAGCAACTCTGCCCAAATGCTCAAGCCAGTCAAGAAACCGATAGCCAGAATGAACATACAACTCTGGTTTCGACAAACACTTCAAATGAAAATCCTTCTCCAAATAACATTTCATGCTCGTCTCTCAACCACACTCATGTTCTTCTAGCAACTTCTAAGGTCATCTTTCTGTCTAAAACTGGATGTAAAATTCAAGCTCGTGCTCTTTTAGATTCAGCTTCTCAAACCACATTCATAACGAATGAAGCATTCAAAAGGTTATGCACACCATCTTTTAAATTTGACATGTCTGTCACTGAAATAGGAAACAAAACAAGTCAAATTACTAAAGCAGTAAGCTTAAAAATTTGCTCTTCAAATGAAGATTTTTCTATTTCAGCAACTTGTGCTATTTTAGACAAAATCACATCGGTTCTCCCTCACGTCCAAGTTTATTTAAGTCAAATAAACATACCACCAAATTTATCTCTAGCAGATGACCAGTTTGACTGCCCTTCTCAAATTGACATTCGCATAGGTGCAGATCTATACTACAATTTAATGGCTCCTGGAATTAAAAACCTTGGAAAAAATCTGCTAACACTCCAAAACACACGTCTAGGATGGGTTGTCGGTGGACCGACTCCAATGCAAAACCTTTTTTTCAATCACTGGTGAGCACAGCACTATTCACCTGGATACCTGATCTTAATGAATTACTTCCAAAATTTTGGAAATTAGAGGAATACCCTCAGAAAACATTCTTATCTCCCGAAGATAAACAATGTGAGTCCATATTTAGTCAAACAACACAACAATTGTCTGACGGTACATTTCAAGTTAATTTACCCTTTCGTAGCGAAAATGCCCCCTCCCAGCTAGGTGATTCATTTAGATTCGCTAAACTGTGTTTCCTCTCTTTGGAAAAACGATTTCTAAGAGATCAAGATCTGTTTCTAAGATATAAATCATTTATTGATGAATATGTCAATTTAAATCACGATAAATATGTACCACTTAACCAATTGTCCGAGGGTAATTCACCACAAAAAAAATTTTTGCCTCATCATTGTGTCATAAAAGAAGGAAATGAGAAAACTATTCTCAGAGTCGTATTTGATGTCTCGATGAAAACATCTTCTAACCTCTCTCTAAATGATATCATGTTGAAAGGCCCTACTGTCCAACCTGATTTATTCGATATTCTCAGCAGATTTCGAATGTTTCGATACGTATTTACGTGCGATATTAAGAAAATGTATCGACAAGTGAAAATCAATCCCTCTCAAGTTCATTTTCAAAATAATTTATGGCGAGATAATCCCAATGATGATTTAAAATGCATCGAACTACAAACTGTAACTTACGGTACCAAATCCGCATCCTACTTAGCTACTAAATGCTTAGTCAAGCTAGCTGAAGACAACTCACATATTTTCCCACTTGCATCTGATACCATTCTATATCAGTGCTACGTAGATGATATTTTGTCTGGCTGTAATTCCAAATCTAAACTGATTCATCTCCGCTCTGAGCTCATACAATTACTGCAATCAGCAGGGTTTAGTTTGCATAAATGGCATTACATTTATCACGATCTTCACGATCGCAAATCAAATGCAAAGCATTTTCATAAAGGATGCGACAAGTAAAGTTCTTGGCTTGTCATGGAACCCTCTCGAGGATAACTTCAATGTCACTGGTCCTTCGCCTTTAAAATTATTACCAATAACAAAAAGGCAGGTGTTATCTCACTTGGCTCAAATGTTTGATCCTCTCGGTTTCATTAGCCCAATAGTTATCTCCGCAAAAATACTTATGCGGAAAATTTGGTTGAAAAGATTAAATTGAGACGATGAGCTAACCCCTGATTTAAAAATTACTTGGGAATCATTCTCACAAAATCTTAACTAAATTCCAAAGTTGAAAATTCCTAGATCGTTTCATAATTCACCGGAATACAAGAAGGATTTTCAGACGCCTCTCTTGCTGCCTACGGCGCAGTACTGTATTTACGTAGGATCTCCCATAACCAAACTGTCTCTTCGAACATTATTTGTTCCAAGTCCCGAGTAGCACCTTTAGAGACTATCTCTTTGCCCCGGTTTGAACTGTGTGGTGCGCTATTATTAGCCAAACTTGGCAATAGAGGCAAGTCGATACTACCTTACAAAGGTTTGGATGGGTTTCTTTGGACGGACTCCCAGATCGTACTCTCCTGACTGAACGATTCGCCATCTCGGTGGACAAAATTTGTTGCAAACAGAATCTCCGAAATACAGGATTTATTCCCTGCCTCATATTGGCAGTACGTAGATTCCAAAAATAATCCAGCGGACCTAGTGTCCCGAGGAGCTGACGCATACTCATTATTATTTATTATTTATATTATTTAACAGATCCAGATTTCGAAATAGAAACTGTCCCGCGAATGTTAAAGCTAGACGCTTTGCCAGAACAAAGACACGTGTCATCGCATAGTGACATATTTCAACAGGTTGCAAAGAACCTTCGCATACGTTCTGCGTTTTGCAAACAACTACAAAGGAAATTCTTCTAAAAATTGAGGCCCATTGTCAGTGTCCGAGTTGCAAAATTCCCTTACAGTAATGGTAAAATGTATTCAAATGTCTCACTTTGACGTAGAATTTAGTCAACTTCGAAAAGAAGAACCTTTAAAGAATAGATCAATTCGATGCTTATCCCCATTCGTCAATGATTTCGGCATTATCCGTGTAGGAGGTAGGCTGCATAACGCCATAATACCCTTTGAACAGAAGCATCCTATTTTATTGACCGGAAAAGTTCATTTTAGAAATGAACATATAAAATTGCTCCATGCCGGCACGCATACAGTTCTTGCCAATATTAGATTAAAATTTTGAACTCTAAACACTTTGCGTCAAAATAAAACTGTCATACATGAGTGTACTACTTGCTTTCGTTTTAAAAATATCCGCACCGAACAAATTATGGGAACACTTCCACCAGAACGCGTGTCCATAGCACGACCATTCTTGAATGTAGGTATAGATTTTGGTGGACCAATCTTTGCAAAGGACTCCTCTGTGAAAAGATCGGTAAAGTTAAAATGGTATATTGCTTTATTCGTTTGTATGAAGACCAAAGCGGTTCATATAGAACTTGTATCTAGTCTTTCACAGGAGACGTTCATATTAACATTAAAAAATTTACAACTCGTCGTGGTAACCCTGTTGCGATTTTTAGCGACAATGCCACAAACTTTCGAGGAGCGAATAATTATCTCCATGAAGTTTATAAATACTTTAAGTCAAAGGAAAACTTGGAAGGCATTCAAAATTATCTTATCAGTCTGCAGGTTGAATGGAAATTCATACCTCCAAATAGCGCTCCCTGGGGTGGGCTCTGGGAAGCAGGAACAAAATCCACAAAATTTCATCTCCGCCGACTCTTGGGTAAGACGGTCCTAACATTCGAGCAACTAACGACAATTCTGGCTCAAATTGAGAGCATATTAAACTCGCGACTCATATGTCCAATCTCGACAGATCCCACTGATTTATCATGCTTAACTCCAGGACATTTTATTATTGGGCAACCGATTACTTCTTTTCCTGAGCTCCACGTTTCTTCTCTACCTGATAAAAGAATTTCTTTTTGGCAACAATACCTTAACAGACTTCAACATAAACCCAAATTATTACAAAACTCGCACCTTTGCCTCTAGACTACGCTTCAACAGGGGGGGGAGGATGTTTAAGTTTAAAAAAACCGCGCGATTAAGGCTAACGTTCTCATTCGGCAACCTCGCTGCGCATCAGAATCGCACCCACACAACAAGTGAAGTAAGTCGCGGCTCAAAATTGCCTCGGAGGAAAGCACAAGGCTTTAAAACCCCCAGGAAGGAAGCACCCGGTTTCCAAACCCCCGGAAAGAAAGCACTCGCCTTTCAAACGCCCAGGAAGAAAGCACTCGGCTTTCAAACCCCCCAGAAAGGAAGCACCCGGTTTCCAAGGAAGCATCCGGCTCGAAGGACCAAAAAATGTGCGAGCGGGAACGCAATTGGGAGAATCCTTCGATGAAAATGAACTGCTTCTCTTTTTGAACGATTTTATTTGCACACTTGTACAAACCGAATAAATTTGCGTCTTAATTCAGGAGGTTTTTGAAATAGCTTCTGCAAGTTGTGATAGCAAGACGGCGACTGGGGTGGCTGGCACGCGGGTGCGACGTTGATGCACAGCGAGGTGGCCGAATGCGAACGTTAGCGTTAATAGCGCGGTTTTGTAAACTTAAACAGTAAATAAATGAAATTGTATGTATTGTTGAACAAATGAGAACGGATGACGGATGAGAACAAATCATACACAACATCCACAAAAAAGTATTTTGTTTGGGAGGGAATTTGGAATAACAAAATTACGGGACCTTATTTATTAAATAAACAAAATTTTAAAGTTGAAATAATTCCCGACGAATGAGAGAAAATTTGGGCAGGCAGGGATTTTAAATAACAAAATTTTTGAACATTATTTCTTTCATCGAGGTCTTAACTAGAGCCCGATATTTCTAATTTATTCAAAATGACTTAATTCTTACCCTCCCAGTTTCTTTTCTAAATTCAAATCAGCCTAATATGCCAGATAGACAAATTTTCTTTACTGACAGAGACATAGAACTTTACTGGTACTAACCTGTTGATTTCAAAATAAAATTTCTGTTTTTTATTCTTTTGTTCATAAAAAGAAGGTTTAGGGTATCATACATGAATTTTGCGTGAAATTTGACACATAATTCCATAATTGATTTAAAAAATACTGTTCTCTTTTAGAAAATAAACTTGCTACTTTTTGACCTACCAGGTATATTTTCAATTTCATGGAAAATTTCCGAAGAGAAAATTATGATGGACTTGTGCGAGTATTTTTTTGAAATCGAATACCTGATTTTTAAATGAATTTGTTCCATACTTTTGCAGTTCACTGTACCTATTTTCAGAACTTCCAGTATCGCGAGTTAGTACTCCATCGTGTGACGGATTTTTGTGCCGACTCGGACAATGTATACCCCAGAAAAATCTCTGCAACGATATTTCGGATTGTCATAGCGGCGAAGATGAAAGTCCAGAATTGTGTACAGAGAAGGAACAGCGGTGCCATCTATTGGACGATTGCAGTAAGTTTCGTAGGTTTTTTGACCCTCAAGGCTCCTCCCAAGCAGTTTATTTCTAACATTTCCATATAGGTGGCACGTGATTAATAGTACATAGAATGGCTCGTTTATTAATGGGAAGTACCTTAACTCAAAACCTGTAAAAAATGTCGAAGAAGCTTAGAAACTAGAGTTGTTTACGTTCACGTATACCTTTAAAATATTTTATTGGTATATTCAGAGGGTGTTTAACAGCTTATTTTAATTCCAGAATAAGTTCTAGTTATCTATATAAACATACCAGAATATTAAAAGGTACCGGAACGCTTAAATAGCTGTAAAACCGCTAAAGCTGGAACAAAAAAAATCATTATTCATTGTTAGAGCACACAGAGCATGAGAATGTTCAGCAGTGTGGTCAGATCTCCTGTCGATTTAAAAAATAATATCTCAAAATGTTGACGGTTTTTTAACATAAGAAATTTTTGAAGAATATCAGGGAAAGGTTACTGGAATTACAAATACCATTTCGGCTTTGGCAGTTTTGAAGATATTTAAGGGTTGCGGTACTTTTGACTAAAAAAGCGGTGTTGCCGTAGTTCAATAATTAATGGTAACAGAATTTTGAAGTTATGAGTACTTTAAAATAACAAAATTATGACGTCGGATGTAAATGTGGAAAATCTGACATTACTGAATTGAATTCTGATGTTAAAAAATCTCCAAGAATTTTATAGTTCCAACTTTGGCAATTTGGAGATAACTAAGCGTTCTGGTAATTTTTACTAAACCGGTATATCGAGTTACCGGTTAAAAGTAAAACAAACAGGTCGAAAGAAAATTCTAAATTATAATGGAATTCCAGAGAATTCCATTATAATATTTTGAGAATCCTACTGAAATTCTTCCGAATTCAATTAATTTTTTTTTTAATATTTACATCCATTATTTATTATATTAAAACAATAAGGAGCAAAAATATGATAGTTGTCATTAAACACAATATATAAATAAACAAAATCAATATTTGCTTAGATACCCAAAATTTAAAATGAGTTAGTGCAATTACAAAATAGTGTGAAAGTGGTGAAATTAATATATTATTATTACACAGGTTAGTCAATAATGAATGCTCTAAAAAGCAATCCAAAGCGGTATTTTCACGATTTAATTGAGGCATATATGGGGTGCAACCACGAGCGATATTTCACTAACGCATAGTTTTATTAGTTGTCAGCATTCATTGTGCCTGTGACATATTAATTAAGTTTTTTGCTGAGAAACGATCACTCTATTTGATATTTTCCAAAATTAATTTGTTTAGATCTCAACGATCGTTGCAATTTATGTATCATTAAAAGTGTCGGAAGCTTTAAAGGATGATTATGCCCTTGGTTTGTTAAGAATCTTTAAATACGTTTAGCAATAGTTTAATTAGTACGACTAGATATATTTTAGTGCTTGGACATTCCCTGAAATTTTTTGGAATTCCGAGGAATTTAAGAAAGATATCTAGTCGTATTGACTAAATATACCCAGTCAAACCACATTAAAGCAATCAAAGAAAGAATGAAATTAATTCTTGACGGATCTACAGCAAAAATCGGTCTCATCTATTGGCCAAAGATTTTTTATGATATAAAAACTTGTTGCGGTCGTTGGGATAGATAATAGCACATTATTTACAACAGGTGATATGACCGACTTACAGAGAAAAAAAGAAAAAAAAGGAAAGGATAAGGCTTTTGGGGTACGCATAACCCGACGCCATTCGAAGTTACCCAAGTATCGTGTGATACCATCATAATATAAATCACAGTGCGATGATAATTTGTTGAAGTTAACACACATAGCGTACATAGGGTTTTAAAAATGGATATTGGATCTGGGTAACTGCATTAAGAAAGTTATAAATTGGTCACTATCCCACCCATGATTTGACCATAGCCAAGCTACGTAACAGTAAAATAGTATTTTAATAGTAGATGAGTTACAAAAATGTCTGCCATTTCTTATTACGAATCCTAAAATTTAGATTACACTGGAAACCACTTTAATAATGTGAGGTGCAAAAGATAACGTCTAGTCAAATAAGTGGCAAGTTTATTCAGGACAATACAGTTGGTACAAAGGGAGCTGAACTAAAGCTCTCAATCTCAACAAAAAGTCGACGGTGTACCAAATAGAACCTCAACACTGAATTATGGTATCGGAGAAACCAAATTTTTGGAGACGTTTTTCAATCAATAAGTGATGATCATTTGGTCAAACGCTTTGTGGAAATCGGTGTATTTAACATCAACTTGATCTTGCTTATTCAGGGAGTCACACAAATATGAAAACAGGGAACATAAGTTGGTGATACATGATCTATTCGCATAAAAACCAGGTTGTTGCGCAGAGAGTTTACTTCCAAATGGAGGAAAGATAAATGTACGTAATATAATCTGCAATATTTTCGAAAAATTGCGTAAAATCGAAATAGGTCATCGATTTTCAGTTGGAGAATTTTTTTTTTTTGGAGAATAGAATAAACTTCGGCAATTTTTAAAGGTCTGGATAATATGGTATTCCGTCAGGAGCAGCGCTAGGTAGGTATAGTCAATGAATTGGTATGTTGAGTAGTTCGGAATTAAAGGACATGGTTGATGATGAACATGGATCTGATGGATGGATAGGACACTGTGATTGGGATCCACGAATCTACCTTCTTACTCTGAATAAATAACCAGAAATTGGTATTATCGTGTACGTTTAACTCAGCAGGATGAACAAATCATTTCTTTGGTGAACCATGATCGAGATCGCCTTCGTCTCAGCGTCGAAGTTAGCAAAGACGAGGTCTATTTAGGTTAGTTACAGAGTTATGCGGTTTAAGATTCAATATGGCGCTGCGGTTGAGTAGGGGTCTATGTCTGACATTAACAGGAGCCTAGGCAGTGAAAGAAGAAATATTAAAGTCACTCCATCAAGTCAGATCTGCCAAATATCAAGTTCGACCACAACATCTTGACTTCGAACCTGGCGGCGATGGAAATACAAAAAAAACTAAAGAGATCTTACAGCCTAAGAAGTCTATGCTGGATGCCGAAAGTATCCAGAAATACGCAGCCAAAACTGTCACGAACACCGAGCATGAAACCGCCTCCCCTGGAGATTCCGGTTAAGTCTTGCCTTGTCTGAATGGTAGATTAGATAAGAATACTGGAAGTGTTCGGAATTTCAAAAATTCTACTAAAGCTAGGATCCAAAGGAAGTTACGCCGCGCCGCTATAAAAGACCTGGGTCTTATTTCTGAGATTCTGAACATTCTGGTACATGCAGATCAATTCCTTGGCAGGAGTGGCGGAAGCTGGGTTATTTGTAGAGATCGTGGGAGCACCGCGGATGTATTTTAAAACCAGATTGTTTTCTCCGGTTGTGGATGCGTGCCTGCCTCTGGGGGACTTCTTGAAAAATGTCCTTTCCATGATTTTGTTCCGCGGCTGTAGTGGTATCACTGCGATTGTTATTGGCGATTTGAATTCTTGTCTCTGCAATCTCCGGCTACTGCTGCTTTTGACTTGATCTTCGTATCTCGCAGCCATTATGTCGTTCAAAGATACTTTAGTTATGGGTTAAAAACAAAGTGAACTTTAACAGTGTGAATTAATTTATGTATTTTAAAGAAAAGTAAAAAAAATATTACTACTAAAATCGCATTAGAACTCGCAACCTACGACATAGCAGGACACGCTCGCTGACGTGGGCCGTAACCTTCAAACTGATATACATTAAAATACTATGGCTAAAATCTACCGAAAACATTTGATCGCTCTCAAATACTGGAATAAAATACCGCAAATGTCCAAAGAAGCTATCGAAATTTTACATAATTCTACTGGAAATCTACGGAATTACATGGAATTCCACCGGAATTTCTTCGTTCTGTCCACCATAATTCCACCATCGTTTTCTCTAACATAGAGAGCTCTAGCAGAATGTGGACTGTTTACTCGATCTCAGGGGCAAAGAAATTATGATTATAAGGGAGCGCTAAACAGAATTGAGTAATATCATCAAAAGCATAGTAGATAAGTTTACAGATATGATATATCTCTTCGGATTGACATTTTACTATAAATTACTTTGAAAAAAAAAAAGTTTCACCGTTACCTTTCAGTGTGGTTGATTTCAAATGCACTTAATAGATTATAATAAACACAATAAGGAAAGGTGCTCTGATGCTCCATTCAAATGTGTACATCGAATATTAATTTCGTGTATCTATTTTGATGTCAAATCCCATTTCAAGTTTATAATACTTCAGAGCGAAATGATTTTAGCCTAAAGATATTCGGTATTTTAAAAATATTATTAACTGCCTCCACTCTTTACCACTATCTAAAAGTACAGAATTTAAGTTCAAAATAAAGAGAGTCATTTTATCGGGACCACAAATATTTTCTTTTCTACCATAGTACAACTTTACTTACTATTTATAAATCGAACTTCCTGAGTTTTCGTCAATTCTTAAGTAACCATGTTGGATTCTTCAGAAGTTAAATGATACTGGTTTCAGTCCTACCAATCATTCAGAGTAGCTGTCAACACAATAAGGATAGCAATGACGATAGTCAACCTCGGATAGGAGATGGAACCAGAACAAAATGGATTCTAGGATTTTTCTTTGGTAGAACAATTGATTGCATGTAAGAATTTTTTTGGTCAAATAAGATTTGGTTTCCAGTTTTACGATATTGTTTGGTAGCTGCTAATAAGTTGATATGTTTAATCCTGCCTTTCCACTGGCATCTCAAAGGAAAATTTAACTTTGGTGGGTCAGAGATTGACATTTTGAACCTAAAAAAGGACGATTTTCTTTGAGAAGTTGTGGTGAAGTCAATTTTATAATGGAACGCTTAATATGTTTGATATGGAAATTGTTTGAAAGAGCAGGTAGTAGGCGTTTCAATTCTGGGTTCAGTAATTCGGTTTGAGATAATTGTTCGGCCCTATAAACAACAGAGTTAATAACCGATGAGTTTTGGGTCGGATGGTGATTTGACAATGCATTAAGGTATCGATCATGGTGCATATTTTGTGTGTGGTCTTTCCTTGCATTCAAAATATTACTGACCAAATATCAACAGTTAAGAAATATAATGTTAAATTCAGATTTACCCTTGCCCGAAAATCTCTCAATATCGTTGATCTGCTAAAGACAAATTTCCGTTTGTGCCACCATGCATACGTGGAAAAAATACATTGGAGAAACAGCAGCAGTTGTCGAAGATAATCATGAATTCGGACATCAAATCTTATCCGACCAAATAAAAAATCCTGCATGCAATCAACAAAAATCTAAGAATCCATAGAAATCTCTAAACAAGCAAACAATCTTAAAGGTGCCTTTACCTTTCACCAATATGATAATTAGTCATCCAAGAAAAAGTTCATCTCTCTACTTTAGCTCCGCTCAAGAGTATATAAGCAAGCACAAAATAGGATGCGAATCAGTTTCAGTTTCTGAAGAAGCCATGATTTATCGGAAGTTCGATTTATCAACAATCGAATATAGGGAATCCAAAAGATTTGTAAATAGCATTGCAGTAGCATGAGGAAGTTTCTTTGAAAAATTCCAACTGCACATATTTGTAAAACCAGCTTAAGCAGCTTAATAAAACGCAAATTACATGGTCTCTATCAAAATTTTTATTTTAGTTTGTCCCCACACGCATTTGAAGTGTACGAACAATAAGTGCATCGCGAAGAATTCGTTCTGCGATAGAATCGACAACTGCGGCGAATACGAAGACGAGCCAAGAATTTGCTCCTGCAAGAACTACTTGAAATTAACCCATCCGGAAAGAATATGCGACGGTGTTGTCCATTGTATGGACAGAACCGATGAAGATCCGAACATATGCCCGTGTGAACTGGAAGGCTTCCAATGTGGAATGTGAGTTTGCAACTTAGGTGGTTATTTAATGTTCACTACTCATCCCTGTGTGCGTTCTAACTTACAGAACCAACAAATGTATTAGTCAGGAAATGGTGTGCGATGGTATTGACGATTGTCCACATGGAGAGGATGAGAAAACCTGCTTATCACTCAAAACTGAAGATCAGGCACGGTAAGTTCGCAAGTTGCTACACCAACAACTTGGGCAATCAACCCAGCTGGTAAAGTTACATCAATTGGTATAAACAAATTCGTCGTAAAGGAATAGAAGAAAAAAATTGTAAGGATTTTAAATTTTTTTATCGAACTTCTAGTGGGAACTGGAATACAGACTAGAAGAGTTGGGAACTGGGTGGAAGTGGAAGTTCATTCTCCTTTCGCTCAATGCCAAAAAGAAAGGAAATGTAGTTTTGGCAGTGTAACTTACATAAACCACAGCAATTTGCAATGCCCAATTAAAATATTTGAAAGTTGTAAGTTCCAAAAGTTGTTTGGTTTTGCTGTAAACATTTCAATTAATTTAAATAGAACATCCTCAATGTTACTTCATTTTTGGATTTCCGAGAAAATTTTATATTTGGTCTCTCCACATTTTCTCTATAATTAGTCGCAATAACTTTTTAGATATTCTTATTAATTAAAAAAATATATAAAAAAGGAAAAATGGGATTGATTGATTTATGGCCTATGCCATTACCTGTTATTTCTAAGATACAAAGCTTCGTTTTTTTCAAATAATGCAATTTTATATTTTAATATTTCGTTTTTATTTCAAAGTTAATGAAACCCCAAAGTTCTTTCAAGTTGGCAATGATTTTATAAAGAGTTAAGGAACTCTGGAACTGGCGATCCATATCAATCCATTTGTACCCCATGGATTTTCCACTACCTGGCTATCTAAATAATTTTCTCTTTCTAAGCCTGTGCAAAAGAGAGTTGGATTATTGAATTATGTTGATGTTCCCTGACTACTTTAAATCCACACGCACAACGAAGGTTTATTACATGAATAATACTAGATCTCATTAAGTGCTTCAACAGAAGTTAAATCCCCGTCACAGTACAATATAAATATATCATAAAATAATTATTGTATTTCAGGATGAATGCGGGCGAAGTATTGACTCGCACAGCTGGTGTTTGGCACTCAGGTTGCTTCAGTTTAACATACACAAGTTCACAACTCGAGGATATATGCACGCGCCTCGGATTTGCCGGTAGGATATTATTATTGGGGTTTTTTTTTAGGGGCATAAACACCGTCTCGGATGACAGGTAAAGACCTGAGTCGCGGTTAAGATTGTCAGGTTGCTTATAGATTTCTATAGACTCTCGGATTTTTTGGTGAAGAATTGATTACATTCAAGAATTTTTTCGAGTAAAACAATAATAAAACATTTTATTTATTTATAAAACTAAAATCTTAACCGCGACTCAGGTTTTTACCTGTCACCAATATGGAAATCATTAACCCAAGACGGTGTTTGTGCGCCTGATTTAGCTCCGCCCCCATCAAACAATATAAAAGCAGGTTCAGAGTAAAATGCGAGCCAGTTTCAGTCAAGCTCTGAAGAAGCCAACAGGATGATTGGTGAAACGTTGCCTAGTTCGACTCAACAAAAACCGATGCAGGAGAAATCCAGAAGTTTTATAAAAAGTGTTATCGAGGTCTTATTATATTAACGTACGGTGTATTCAGAATGTATATCACACTGATTTTTGAAGGATTCTCCCCTCGAAAATTAATTACGACCTTCATAAATACTTTTACTGGGTTAACTCAACAACTAACAATGTCGTCATAGGCAAGGGACAAAACAGAACAGAAGCATGTAGAGCGATAAAAAAGAAAATGAGAGACTGTGAATTAGATATAAAAAGAGATGTGGAGGAAAACAGACAAAGAAATAAACTTAGAATAATTTATTAGAGAAACCACGTTATCAACACAGAACCAAAAATTTCTTCTGAGAAAATGACTGACAACAAGCGAACACTAACATCAAACTAGTCAGTCTAGTGACAGCTGAAATAGAAATTCAGTCCCTATCATATGGGGAAACAGTAAAATCCCTAAAAAAGCTAAAAGAAAAACATCAAAACTGCTGGTAGCGACAAACAGTACATAGGTCAATTCATTAAAAGCATTCGAAATACAGAGATGTATAGAAAGGTGTGATAGTACTCATCCATGAAAAAAGAGACAACATGCCATAAGATACTCTCCAGATTCCTAGATAGACAGAGAGCTATTTTAAATATTTTTTAATTTTAACCAGACATTCGAGAAAGTAGCTGAAGTGAAGTTGTGACAAGCAATGCAGAATCAAGACTTTCCGAAAAAAAAAATCTTAAATTAAAATATACAAGGATGTAAAGTGAGGTTGGGACAGAATTACTCAAACCACTTCAACATTAATAATAGGCTCAAACCGGGTCACCTGAACTATTTAACATATTGTTAGAATATACCATTAGAAATACTAAAATTGCGACATCAACCGTTAATGAGGGTCCCCATCTACTCCTGGAATTCGAAGACGGAATGGACATGATTGGCACCAGCACTGTCGATACGAAGGAATACTAACATTCGAAAAAGAAGCGACAAAAATTTACCAAAAAATAAATGAAGCCAAAATAATTCCGCTTGCAGAAAGAGGCACCTTCCTTTTCCTGGTGAAGATCACCATCTCTACCTTGCCAGGATTGACAGCTAACTTGCTGTTCCGGCACCATTGTGAGAATCTTGCTAGGAGCCCCTGCATCCCTCGCACGTCCGTCTCCTGTGTCATTATCACAAGGTCGTCTGCATATGCCTGAGCATAGACCCCGTGTTCTTCCCCCAGAATATGCAATATCCCGTTCACCACTGGGCACCACAGGAAGGGGGGCAAGACCCCACCCTGTGGACAGCCCCGTGATGAGTCGATGGAGACCTGCTCCCCACTCAGTCTTGCCTCAACCCTCCGGTCGGTTATGGAGCGGAGCGGATCCATTTTACGATGGCCGTCCCCACTCCGGTACGCTCCACCGCCCTGCAGAATACCGAATACCGGGCAATATTATTGAAGGCCCCTTCAATGTCAGCGAACACGCACACCTACAGCTGTCCGAGCCCATATCCTCCTCCAACTTGGAAGTCAGATGTCTCAAGTCTCTCCAAAGTTTTCATAATGAAGCTGGTGAGCCAAACGGGCCGGTATGACTTCAGGTCCATGTAGTCGTTCTTCCCTACCTTGGGGATGAACACTGCCCTGCTGTGTCTCCACAGCTCGGGGACGCATCTCCTCGCAATGGAAGCTCTGAACAGATCCATCAGCGGGCGTGTCAGGAGTTCTCCGTCCCTTTGCAGCAGAACCGGAAATACTCCATCCCCGCCCGCCGACTTGAAGGGGCCAAAGCATTTAAGACACTATCAAAAGGGACAAAATTTTACTGCTTGGATTTAAGCCTGTATATTTTAGTTCAATGAATAAAATAAGTAAATTTCAATAGAATAAAATTTTTAAAATCACCTACTGATTGAAACTTTCAAGAACCATCAAAAAGGAACAACAACCGTGCATTTGTACCGGGTGTCTCACATAAGGCTCATTGCTTGGAGCATCCTGCATAATTCAAAACTGAATAACTAAAAAATTTCCTTGAATGCAAAGAATTTTTGTGTTTAAAATTCCCTAATAATAATCATAAGTTTTGAGAAAAATGCAAATCTCTATTTTTTTACAGAAAATAGCGCGACCCAACTTACCCCTCCAAGAAATGTTAGCTCGATGTCTGCTTTAAGGCCCACTTTCGACGAATTTGACGTTGTGTGGCTTCGCAGAATGGCCGGAAATCTTTTCAAATTGAGACTACGCACAGGAAATGACCCCTACGTGAAATTTGAAGAAGACAACACCTGCCATAGATTATTTATAGCTTGTTTATAAAATTGCTTTAAAACTTTACTCGATTTTGCTCTAGCCCTCCATAACATCTAATTCCGATTTTCATGCTCCGTTTCTCAATGCGAGTAAGTAATAAAATGTAAATTCGCAATGACCGGTATCATAAAACATGGCCGACAACTTAAAAAATGTCAAATAGTTTCCGACAAATTCCGTAATTCAGTTTTTGAAACCTACACACATCGACACTATAAGAGCCGATGTATTTCAAATGGAAGAAAAATTGTGATTTTTAATATAATTTGCTGTTTTAGTGAAAAGTTGAGTTTACTTGCAGTTGTGACTAGCGCTTCAAAACTGAGTAAGTGTCGGTTAAAAAACAATTTTTATCACCAAGGAAGAAGAGGAATAGAACAACTTTAAAAATCTTTTTTTTTTCAAATATATTCCGCCAACTTTAGTTGCCAGTTATAAAATTATTCCAAGAGGTGATGATTTAAGGTTGATCAAGAAATATAATCTATTTATATGATAGTGTGGTCAATGTGGGTCATGTTTCGTAAAAAAACAATCAGATAATAAATTAAAACCTATGTATATAATGATACAATGCACACATTAAGTTTTAACAAATGTATATGACCAGTATTACAAGCAAATTTATAACGACCAACACTTTGACATTAAAAACCAACAAATTAGCTGTGAGAAGAAAATATAAATCATTTAAATGCTCTCAAATATATTTTAATTTTTTTCAGGCTGTAGAAAGCATTGGCCGACAAAAACCTCTTGACACTTTTTTTTTAAATTGCTTTGTTCGTATATCTTTCAGACTTGGAGGAAGCAAATTATAATAGTATTCTCCTGCGTAATTAATTGACCTTACATAAAACATATGATTGAGTTTTGGTTTCAATAACTTAGTTTTCTACTGCAGGTAGAGTAACTGTGGACATCAGTGTGTTTCTTATGTGAATATTTATTTTTATGTGTGATCAAGAGTATATACATTAACATTTTATGCTGGTGAAATATCTCTTTCACAAATATAGCGAAGAACGTTTTGTTTGGCTTACTGCAGACACCCAAGTAGCCGTCAATATAGTACTCAAGGAACCTCGTGGATTGATTTTTCTCATGACAATCTAGCTGAACTGATAATGATAAGCCTGGCCAGTAAACTCAACCACAACTGTCTTCTCCAAGTTTACAATCAAGTGGTTTTGCTTACAAAATCCATTAAACTGTGTAATCACAAGCGAGACACCATCTATTAATCTATCAATTATTCATGAAGACACAACAGTCACCGTTTATAAATGCAGGCAAATTGTTCATACCGGGTAACGCAAGAAAGTGGGAACACTCTATAGGTTTTTAACGGCTTGCGATATAGATTTGAAATTTGGAAGAGTTGATATAGTCTGAATATTCAATTTTTTGACAATGTGTAGTCAGTGGTTGTACTTCCGGTTTGAACGGATACGTAGGATAAGATGGTTTTCTCTTTTTTTTGTCTTTTTTTAAATTTTTATTTAATTTTTGTGTCTAGGGGGCTATGGCCATATAAGTGCCATTTACCGGGCCACCTGATCGTGGGAACAATTGTAAAATAAACTTGTCTTTACTTGTCTAATGGCAAATAGCATTTAATGAAATGAACTATGGATTTTTTAGGATAACCTATTTTTTTCAAATAGCACCCTAGTGAGAACAAAAACTTTTTAAAACCGGTACTTTTTTTGCAATATTTTGACACCAAAATTTTCAAAATCCGTTAAAAATTAACCTCATAGGAAGGAAAAAACAGATAAGTAAATATGTTTTTTAAAAAAACAAAATATTACTTAGGTGGCTTGGCTTCACTTATAATAGAATTATCATGTCCATTATTTTGTGAATTTCTTATTTTCAATTCCAGCTTTCTAAAGAAAGAATGTGCAGGAAGGCGACGTCCCGGATAGCGGGCTGCATACAATACACGGAGTGGTCGAGAGTTTTTTCTGTATTCTCCATATATCATAAACATATCAACTTTTTCTCCATTTGTAAAATGATTATTGTTTTCCATGATAATCCAAAACGATAACACGACAAAATCGATAATGAGATAAAAATGAACAAACTGTCAAAATTTTCAATCATGCCGACTTGATGTTGAATAGAAGCAATGTCACCTAACTAATATTTTGGTATTATAAAAATGTATTTACTGATCTGGGTTTTTCCTTTCTTTGAGCTTATATTTGAACGGATTTAGAAAATTGTAGTAACAAAATATTGCAAAAAAAGTACCACTTTTAAAAAGTTTTTATTCCCACTAGGGTGCTATTTGAAAAAGCTAGGTTATCCTAAAAAAATAATAGTTTATTACTTGCCATTAGGCAAGTAAAAAAAGTTTCATTTACAATAGTATTTAAAAGAACAAAAAAAAAGTGAGAAAAACCATCCTATCCTACGTATATCTCCTGAATCAAAAATGCAAAAAAAATAGGTTGTGTCATTTAAAATTTCAAAGTTACTGTCGTTTCCGATCAAACCGGAAGTTTGATTAGACTACATATTATCAAAAAAATAGATATTGCGCCTGTATTAACCCTTCCAAATTTCAAATCGCTATATCAAGCTGTTTACATGTTATAGAGTGTTCCCACTTTCTTGTGTCAACCGATATAAAAGAAAAAGTAACGGACCCAAAATTCCTCCTTGGAGCGTCGATACTATAAAAGTCCGAGTGCGTTTCATTTATTGTGATCTTTATTTTCCTCATAGTCATATATGATAGGATCCTTTCATTAAGAGGCCCTCTTATGCCTAATCATTCTAGTTTCTTCACCATTATCCTACATAAATAAACTTTTCAGTATCAAAAAAGAAACAATTAGCATTACATGTTCAATTACAATGTTTTCTAGATAATGATGTTACACGTATCGAGACTAACCCTGTACTCTGAGAGTCCACCAAACGGGATTTTTGGTGAGATATTGCAACTTTCAAATCTCTATGCTGTCCTCGGCCAAACACGTTCACGCGCATCAGGAGAATCGAGACTAATTATCGTTTCATCAAAATAAAACCATCATCCAATCATCAAGACTCTAATGTTGATCATTTCTGGCAAAAACGCAATCTTGCAGCCCGAAGTTCTCTGGTGAGCAATTATTTATTTGTCGATCTTCTGCTTAAACCAGCCTCATTTAAAAGTCCTCTGATTTGAATAGTTCTAAGTCCACTTTTTAGCCTAGCGCTAGTGATTTTTTTGTTTATTAGAACAGTTTGCCTAATAAAACGCTCATCCCTTCGAGAGTAAGATCTTCTGTCGGAAATAGTTCAACCATACGACTTTTAGTCGAACGCTATCTTCCTATCACATTAGCAACATGACACTTTAAATGGCCCTCATCCACTAAAGTTAAAGCTCTTTTTCAACAATAAAGTAGTCGTTGGGCAATTGAGCGAACGAAAAGAACTTTTAATAAGCAGTTTTTATCAGTATGACGAATTTAATTTGATCTCTCTAAATTTAAAAACACAACGTCTGTGGACAAATCGCTTGAAAAGTCAGAAAAATTGCAGAACCTACTTGAAAATGTTGGCAGAAGATGGTGACACCTGCTAATGTCAACTGCTATTTGTTTCGGTTGCTAGTGTATTCCACAAGGTGATCTGAATTTTTGGAAAAACATTTAAAATTTTTATTAAACCGAAAATGAACTTTTTGTCAGAATTCAGAATTCGGAAAAAATTGCATAAAAAATTAGGTATGCAATTTCATTTATATTTTAAGAGAAGTCCGTTTTACTTATTAGTAATTTGTCCGCGACCATTTTAGCAACTATAATTAGAATATAAACCAAAATGGACAACTTGCACGGCTGGATATTAAGCGTTTTTTTTGCGTTACTAGTGAAAATACTCGTAACCTTAATTCTTTGAAAGTCGCACATTATATTTTTTTCTATGCACTGATTCATTTTTAAGAACGTGCTCAATCTGGGTTACAATTGCTTTAGTAAAGGTGGCAACAAATGTTTTATATAAGCATTATTTGTTAAGTTAGGTAATTATTGAAAAAATATTACGTTCAAAGGACGAGCATTAAAGGTTGATAAATACAAAAGTTTAAGCAAATTTTGTTTTTAATAAAGTGATCTAAAAATATTTCTTCTCAGACGTGTCCTTGTCATGTGAAAAAAATTGCCATTTTCAAAAATTAAGTTCTTTTTGAACGTTTTTTTATTTTTTTTGTTTTAGCTTAATTTTTCGTTTAGTTTTCTACGGAAAAAGATTATTATACTAAACTAAATGGGTACCATGGTGAGAAACAAAGATCAATATTTTATTATTTTGACGGTGTACCTATTTTAAAATAAAGTTCCTTTTTGGTACAATGAAGTGTAGTTTAGAAAAACGCTTTATTGTAGAGTGGTGCGTAGGGTGCAATAAAAATGTAATAAGATCTGCCGAGTATTTCTTTAACAGATATTTTATCCGTTCAGCCAACTAACTTTCAGAATTTATGGTTTTGCTAAGCCAAAAAAGTGATTGTAGATTAAAATCACACAATGCCCTTTAGAGAAATTGCAGAAACTGGATCTATAGAGAACTGTGGTGAGTGTCAAAAATAAACAAAATCTACTCATACAAATTGTTAAAATTTTCTATTTAAGAGTAGGACAGATGAAATAAGATTTACCACTTGTGGCATGTTTAATCGTCAGAATGAATATTTTATGCTGACAAGAAAACCCACAACATAACGAACAAAGTTGGACTTGAATCTTGCATCTTAGACGGTAATTTAACACGTTCCACTACGATTCGCCGATCTTTTGGTTTTAGACTTTCTTGTAAGGAGCTTTTAAAAAAAGGTGTACAAAGAAACCTGTGCTACAAGAAATAAACTTCAAGCTGGTGCAAATGAGAATTTAATAATACTATGGATTATTTGTAAGAAAAGCCACTTCACTCTTAAAAAGATGTAATGTTTGCATTTCTAATAATTTTTCAAAATCTTTTTTAAAAACTAAATAAAT